CTTCGAGGATGTGGGTACTGAAAAGAATTACCTTTTTACCCAGAATTACCGGCGTTCATGTCAAAATTCAGGCTTTAGCAGTCATTAGAGATTGGGACTCGTTACAGGGAAACATGCTTACCGATCCATACGGATACGCAGCCCCATAAGGGTACGCCCCATAGTCATAGCTCAAGATAGGGGCAGATAGTCCGAAATGATCAAACGGGTAGCCTAAGAACGAGTATTAACGAATGGTTGAACGCTGCATAGACTCACCATCATGGAAAGCAGCAAATGGGAGCGTGGCTAGTGTGCTAGAAAAAAAATAATGAATGATTATGTTTGCAACAATTGTTTCATGTGGTAAGGCTCACTAGGGCGTGAGTGATTTTCATGATGATCAAAGCAACAAACAGTTCAGAACTTACGATTGAGAAATCACAAGAAGGAGGGCAAAGTTGAAGTAGAATGAACTCATTGCAACCAAACACACTTCGAGATGTATGCTATGGTATTTATATCGTTCATATGCATATTTTTTCCAAGGGAAATCAAACAAGAATGATCAAACTGAAGTGTTCTCCAGTTAAGAAAACCAAATTGTAAGCTTCTGAATGTCAAAACCACTTCTCCACTTGAGTGTTTTGTCCTTTTCGTCCTATTTAAAAGTAATACAAGCTCCAAAGAAAGCTTCAGTGTGGCATTTTTTATCTAAGCATGTTTTACGTGCCACCGAGAAAATCTTTAAAGCATTGGGGAAGCACAACAAGACTATTCATAACAAAGTAGAGATATCAAAGGGAGATCGACCAAAATTTAGCATTTTTGAGAATTTTTAATCACGCACTTTGTGTTTGTCAATTTTCCTAGTCTATATATGCCTTCTATTGGGCAGAAAAGTTGTGCTTCGCATTTCAATGATATTGCTCCGGAGCATGGTTTGATACCAGGGCGCAGTCACGCGAAAGTCATCCTGCCTTTTAGAGAAGGAAATGCGACAAGCTAGCTACCAGCCCCTTCGCACCAATTCAATTCCAGAAAAACGCGGACCCTGCAGAAGCGTATAACGGAAGACAAAAACTTGTTTAGTCTCAACCTACCCCATCCTGTTGTCTGCTTTAGCTTCTTAAGGAAGCTGCCAAAAGATCCTTAGATATTTGGCATTACCGACAGGTGCTGTACGGTTTTGCATCGATATGATGTATGACGAGTCTCGCAAAGAAGAGTGCATTGCGACATACTCGAGTCGTCTTTCTCAGCGAAAGCAGATGGACATGGCTCTCAAAGACATTCGGGTAAAAGGCATGGTAAGACAATCAGGGAACATTGGGCTAAGTGTGGTCATTTTGTCCCTGAGGTGGACAAAGCTTTGGCTATACTTCTCCTTGCCTCGCGGTCAATAATGCTATAAGTTATCAATAAAATCGTGAAGACGGATTTGACTGCGGTGTTTGCGCGCACAAAAGCATAGAACACTCTTACTAATAGGGGTGACCTCGACGCTCAGTTTAGTCACTTCCAGTGTCAAAAAACTATTACCCTAATTCACGCGTATAAGGCGCACTTTTTCGAATTTTCAAGCGAGCCGCTCTGCCGCTTTACTGTATTCCGGAAAGAAATCCTTACATCGCACGATTCTCTTAAGCAATACACAGCACGTTATAGTGTCCTTTGGTTGTAAAGTCCTTTGGCTTGTCTGGGTTGGTCGATTTTGGAAAAAATTCCCCCGCGCCTTATATGCGTGAAGTTAGGGTATATGTAAGCAGGAAAATCCTTCGAAAACAGATGAAACCAGGGGAACGGTTGCGAAAAGGGCGTGCGCGTCGTGCCATCGTCACGATTTTGCGAATGCCCTATACTTTCCCTTCCACCTTTCCTTACCATTTCTCTGCATTTTTTGCACAAACGTAAGTTGCTAAAGCGGCTCGTTCTCGTCCACGTTGGGAATCAGCTATGCCAGGTTCAGAATGAACGTCCATTCATCTTAAACTTAAAAGGTGTAACCCAACGTAAATTATCTGCCATGGTACCCTTCACTAGTTATTTCAGGGTGCGATAGGGGGAGCCGGGCCCTCTCCAGGTGAAGGGGGTCTCTGCTACTCCTACTCTCGAGCATGCTGATCACCCCCCCCCCCCCCCCGTGGGGGTGATCAGCAGGCTCGATTACACCCCTCTGCCAAATTCCAGCCCCGTAGCTCAAATTTTGCAAAAAACCGATAAAATCGACATCGATCGATAACGAAAAGTAGACTGTGACACCCGCCGGGGCCCGAAGTGTATGTGTGCCAAGTTTGGTCCGGATCGGTTAAGAAATGAAATTTTCTATTCGGAACATACGGCGGAGCCGGGTAAGCCAGCTAGTAACATATAAAGTAGCAAGAAAGAGAGAAGACTATTTCGTAATCTGCCTACCGGAGTGAAGTTTTTTCCGGCTAAATTTTCGTGTTCTCTTGGTGAATTCAGTTTGAAAAGGTCAGTGAGAAACATTGAGCTGTAACATTACAGCTTCAAGTAATTTTAGTTAAAGAGGTTAGTGAGAAGCAGTGATCTGTTGCATAAGTTGCATCATAAGTTAAATGTAATTAGTTAGACGAATGAAAAGCTAGAACTCCTAAAGTCACATTATATCTGCTAATTACACATTGGTAGAGTTTGAAGAGCATTTGGAGGAATTCTGGTACTTTTCAAACTGGAATGTGCTGGTTAGTTTGTTCCTAGTATTCCTCGAAAATGAGGACAAAGTACTTGTTCTTAGTTAGGCAATGTCTCCGTTGTCTCTAAAAGTTTTGAGGTAAAAAAAGCCAGCTGTTCTGCATTTTCTACATCAGCTATGCTAATTGCACTCATACTTCATCAAGCTGCATGGAAACGATCTGAAAGAATAAATGAGAAATGCTGCCTTTTGCTTATAACCGAGTTTGTGGATGGACAACGAAATAATAAAGAAATCTCGGCCACACGGTCAAGTGTCGTGATGGCGAGAATTGCGACAAAACTGTCTGGTGGATGTTAAAACAAGGTGTTGTTGTTCTTCAACAAATGTTCAAGTGAAACTCATACAAGGTCATCTGCATGCATAGTAATTTTTATGACTGCTAAAACGCGAGTTTAAAGGCAGCGGACAGGCAAAATGGACCCCTGTCAGATTTTGGTAGTTTCGGGGAGTGGACCCCCCAAGTACACCGTAACCCCAACCCCACATTCCAATTCATGCGCTAAGTCCTGAAAAAAGCGCTTCAAAACTCCACCAGCCCCGCCCACTTGCATTGAGTGGGCGTTATTGGTGGAGTTTTGAAGCGCTTTTTTCAGGACTTAGCGCATGAATTGGAATGTGGGGTTGGGGTTACGGTGTACTTGGGGGGTCCACTACCCGAAATTACCAAAATCTGACAGGGGTCCATTTTGCCTGTCCACTGCCTTTAATCATTTTGAGCAGCAATAAGCTTCGCTCACATAGTTGGAGCGTGCGGCGCACGCGCGTTTATAGTCAATGCGGCAAAGCGCGTGCCTTATCTGTGGGCGTGTCCGGCACTACGCCAAACGCGTGCCATCCAGACATTTGGTGCGTGCGGCGCGCGTATTGATGGCCAACACCGCGATCCGCGCGCTACGTTTATGTTCGATCTCGCCACCCGCGCGCTACGTTTATGTTCGATCTCGCCACCCGCGCGCCTAATTTTGCAGCACGCCGCGCGCGTGCCTTTATACTCTACCCGTGCGGCCCGAGCGCCTGCAATTATCACATGGCGTAAACACAACTCAGACAGTTGGAGCGTGCGGCGCACGTGCGTTTATGGTCAATGCGGCAAAGCGCGTGCCTTATTTGTGGGCGTGTCCGGCACTACGCCAAACGCGCGCCATCCTAGACATTTGGTGCGTGCGGCGCGCGTATTAATGGCTAACACTTCGACCCGCGCGCTACGTTTATGTTCAATCTCGCTACCCGCGCGCCTAATTTTGTGGCACGCCGCGCGCGTGCCTTTATACTCTACCCGTGCGGCCCGCGCGCCTGCAATTATCACATGCTGTAAGCACAAGGGGTACCCGCGCAGTGTACGACGCAGTGGTCAGGCTGCCTCATCATTCAAGAGGTTGATATTACATCGTAGTGTATGAATGGTCGCAGAAGTGGAAGTTGTTTTTTGCTTCCAAGCGTTAGCCTTTGGTAGCATTGCAAATGGATGCTGGATCTGAATTCTTGGATTCAAATACGAATTCGTATATTTTGGCGTACGAAGAGTGGAATTCATTATCAAGACCTGTGGTATACAGCGCAACGAAAAACTGAAAAAATGCAGCCATCCGCGGGCCAGCACCAGCGGCGGGGCATCCAATGTCCCGCCATCCGCGCACTGGGTGTTGCGCCACCGTGTGACTGCGCGCGCGCTGCACGCTCCAACTGTCTGAGAAGGGATACCCGCGCAGTATACGATGCAGTGGTCTCAGGCTGCCTCATCATTCAACTCAGACACTCGGTGCGTGCAGCGCGCGCGCCTCTATGCTCAAGCCGGCAAAGCGCGTGCCATATTTTGGGGGCGTGTCCGGCACGGCGCCAAACGCGCGCCATACTAGACGCACGCGCGCCATACTTGACGCGAATGCAGAATTATCTGCGACACGCGTGCCTTTTTATATGAGAATACGCGGCGCGCGTGCTTTTCCGTTGTTATGCAGCAGCGCGAGCGCGATTTAGCTTTTAGCGCAGCGGTGCGCGTGCCCAAAAGGACGCCGAGTTGCTTTTTTGAAAATAACCTCGTCTCCTGCCCCTGTTTTTTGAAGTTTTACTGTTATTTTTTACGAGTATTTGTCTTTATTTGTATCTAAGACTTTCATTTTGATTTTCTTCCTTGATTTGATGTATTTTTTGTGAACTTACTTTAGTTGATTGTCGTTATTATTAGCCTTTCTTCCTTACTGACAAGTTCCGGGAAAGGCTTATTCTTTTTGCATTTGTCCGTCTAAGGGTAGGAACAAAACGGACGCAGTCTTTCTTATCATACAAATGCCTTCACATCAGCATGCAAATTTGCAATGCTGTCATTTATCACATCAAATGCGTATATGCCTCTAGCAATGTAGGTTGAGGCCTGTTAAAATTATCGTCCGGCTCAAGGCGTATTGGCACCAAACATTTGAAAGTAGGCCAGTTCAATTAAGAACTTATAAACAATCCCTTACTAGTCAGTGCTTTATCTAGGCGAGGAGGTGGAGGTATGCCATTCAGCACGCAGTTCCCGGCCCCACATCATGTTGGAATAAGGGCTTTCGGAGATATCATCCAAACATCTTGAACAACGATGGCCACGCAGGAACGGATGGATGGGCGGAGGAAGAAGAGCAAGAAACTGGTGAAAGAGAGATGTGTAAGTGTTCTGATTGTTTTCGCTTTCAAAATGATAGTTGCAATTTAACATTTGTCGATTAAGCCACTCAAGACCGCATACTGTACTATGCGATACATGTACAGCATTTTGGCTTATCGGAGGTAAGATTGTTAAGATTGTTAAGATGTTACCGCATAAGGTAAGATTGTTTGCTGTTTGATTAGTATTTCATAGATTCATTCCAGCGCCAGTCGAAGAAAGTCGCGGACGAAATGATCGACGATGGGGCAGTAACAGGAGGCGACGACGACCTATTCATTGCTGATGAGTGACGTTCCGTGATAGCAATATTTTTGACTTATATATGTTTATTGCATGTACATGATGCCATTCCGTTACATATGTATTTGATTTTACACATTTGATCCACATTCTCATCATAAAGTGTCTTTTAAAGCTTTAATTACATAATTAATAAAGGTTTGTTGAAGTTGTCCAGTCATTTTTCTGCAGAAATAAAGTTTCAAAAGGTTTAGTCCGCTAAAAGTTTAGCCATTCAAATTTGGCGCGCGGGTCAATGATTAAAACGAAGCTGCGAAAATGCTGACCATTCGCGTGCCAAACTAGCAGCCATCCGCGTGTAAGAAATCGCAGCCGCTCGCGCGCTTAAAATCGCAGCCATCCGCGGACGATCATGCAGCGGCGCGGGAGTCAATAGCGCGCCATCCGCAGACTGGGTGTCGCGCCACCCTGCAATTGCGCGCGCGCTGCACGCACCGAGTGTCTGAGAAGAGGTTAGATATTACATCGTAGTGTATGAATAGTTGCAGAAGTGGAAGTTGTTTTTTGATTCCAAGCGTTAGCCTTCAGTAGCATTGCAAATGGATGCTGGATCTGAATTTTTGGATTCAAATACGAATTCATATTTTTTGGCGTACGAAAGTGGAATTCTTTATCAAGACCTGTGGTATACAGCACAATGAAAAACTGAAGATATGCAGCCATCCGCGGGCCAGCACTAGCGGCGCGGCATCCAATGTCCCGCCACCCGCGCACTGGGTGTTGCGCCACCGTGTGACTGCGCGCGCGCTGCTCGCTCCAACTGTCTGAGTGAGCAATATATTCGCATTGAAACACATAAGGTAACCCAATGTATCAGTGTTCACTTGGGCAAGGACTGTCATCAAATTACCCAAGAGTCATAGTAAGGCTTTGAGTCGGAAAATACAGCCATCAGCAATTCCGAGTAAGGAAATACCTGTTACGCATCCTTTCGCATATAAACCCACATTTTTTGGGCATCAAATGAAAGGGCTGTCTAACCTCGATTTTATTCTGTTCTTAGAAAAACACAAACAAAACATGATTTATTAGGGATTTTGTTGCGCCAAAGCACTTTCTCAGCTTTTTGCCCCTAGTATCTGCAAAAATAAAAAAATTCTCGCACATGTAATAAACCGTTTGAAGGAGCATGAAGAGCTTCTAATGGTATGTTACTTGCTTAACGACTTCACGTTATAGCAACGCATTTATATTAAGTTAGAAGTTTTATCTGTCTTTTCAAACCACTATAAAACCACGCGCATTAAAGACCTAAATGTTCAACATGCATTCGATGCAGCTTTTCCTTCTCTTCCTTATGGGTATACCTTCGAACCACAATCTTGTGTACTTCTTTTGATAATTCCAAAATTCTCCGCCCGTCAATTTTATCTGCTCAAAGTTGGGCTAATTCTTAGAAATTTCATCCCGAAGTTTCTGAGAGATTTAAGTATGCGTCAAATAGAGCAATTTTCAGACTACAAGGCGATATGTCTAGACTTTTTTAATCTGCTCTTTTTGGTTTCAAAAACATATTGCTTCCGAGGTTTTGATTTTTGGCAAAGTTATGAATCACGCAACTGCAGCATATACACGAAAGTTTCAAAGTTTCTGCGAATTGAAACATGTTTCCTATCAAACATTATTTATGCAACATTACCAAGTTTGAACTGCCTTGAAAAAGCAGCTTTTGGGAATTTTCGGTACTTTTACGTGGTATACATAATCAAAAAGCTGCGAATCTTATTAAATAAATAATTTTAGCGGACTTGGGTGTTCCATGTAGTCTAAAGTGAGAATTATGTAGCTAAAAGTTTGCTCTACATAACAGTCACCAGCGCTCTTCAAAAACATTAGGATAAAACATTTCCTAAATCAGGAAAGTTTTGGCGGTACTGCTGAGCTGCTCAAAAAGCCATTGCGATAACTTTGCAAAGACAAGGTATATAGATCAGAGAGCAAATGTAGCTGTAAGAAAGGGGACATATGTGTGAATTAAATGATACCTAAGTCGTCTACGGATTAGTGTTCAGCAAGTTTTAGTGAGTGATGAAAAAAACGGACATAACTTTCGGGACCACCTAATACAATCATAAGAATAAAAGAGCAAAATAACTCAGTTCCACATCTTCGGGTGCCACTCCAAAGAAATGCGGGAGAGTAGCGGTAGCGCATTATAGGCAAAGGTCACTTATATAAGTGGTTTTGGTTACTGATTACTGGAGATCAAGAAAAACTTCAAAATTGAAAAAATCAAGCTGTTCCATTACTTTCCGAATCACCTTAATAACGACAAAGTGGGTTTTTGGAGCAGACCACCGCTACATCTCTTTTTTTCTTTTATGATAGATTTATCATGGAAGTTTTACTCAGTTATTGAGGTGTTTCACAACTCAACAATTTCACATAACATATAGACTTCTTACTTTGTGTGCTGGAGTAATTTTACTTCTTTTACACTACCACAACCATGGATTGATTCCTCACTCATGAAAATGACAAACTGATATTGAGATATTTAGCATGATAGCTTATGTCAAAGACAAAGCTTTAGACAGCCTGCTTCTATCTTCCCTTATTACCTGTAAATATAATATATGGCTGAGATAGCAGCAATAAGCTGATAAAAATTTATATTAGGCATATTTCAGAATTTATACCAGTACACATAAATGCGAGACATCAAGTGAAACTGCGGAGAGGGCGCGTTCAGTATGGCTCCACCAGCAATGAGAGCTTAATTGGATAGAAGATAATAAATGAGCGCAACAGCGATGGCGATTAGACCAGGGTAGATCAGAGCCTCCAAAGGGTTTGATGATGTCCTAAAAAAGCAAACACTGCAAGAAAGAAAGAAGCAAAGATGGGGTAAAAATTAGCATAAGAGTAAAAAATGATCAACTCTCCTTCCACAGGATTTCTCCTTCCTCATCTACATGACCCCGCAAAGATCAAATATCATGAAGATATTTACCTTTGCTGATTGTCGGTCGGGCTCGTGTGCCACGTCTTTTTATCGTATGAGTATGTCTGATGATCCTCCTGAATGAAAATTTTAAGCTGAAAATTCTGCTCTGTACTGAATTCTTCGTCATAGCTTGAAATCGCTCTACAACTTCTCACGAGAAATTGAATTACCTTCACGAGATCTCCTAGGTAGTATTCTTCCCTCATCTGGCGAGCATCTGTAGAGTGACCAACATCTTCGAATGCTTCAGTTGCGTCTCCACCGGCTTGTTCTAACAACACCTCACAGCCTCCTGGATGCTGCAACCACGTTTGATAGGTTTGAATGTTATGAAAGAAAAATTCCAACTTTTTGAAAAAGTAGTTACTAATAACTAAACTCATCGTAGGCTTATTCTAGGTTAAGATAAGCACACAGAAGACATAAACTTTCAAGAAAACCAAATGATTTTTCGATTGATTTTTTTGGTTCATTCTTGCTAACTGGATCTCTGGCACTTACATAGTTCTCAATTGAAAGTACAAATAAGTGAAATCTTTTGTTACAGTTGTAGAACGATCAAAAGCGGTGCTAGAAATACTCTAGCAATTGTTTGAAGGCCAATTTTATCAAAAAAGTTATAAGTTTCCGCCGCGCTTTTGGCATGCTTGTTCTGAGCGTTAACCGTACAGTTAGAGAAAGATCGAGGCACTCTCGTATTTTCAAGATGGCAAAGTTAGTAAAAAAAATTTAGTAATAGCTCCTCCACTTACTAGGCCATGCATCCACGATTCAAAAATTCGTCTCTATTACTGAAATTATGTTGGGAAGTTTTAGGAAATGAAAGAAAAATTGGAAAAAGGAAAGCTGGCTCTTCTTTATGACTTGAATAATTCAGGTTTATACGAAAGAGAAATCTCAGAACATGCTGTGCAAGAGATATATTTCGTAAATTCATAAAATTATCGCCATTCTCATCAAAATGATGTGGATGCCTTTTGAAATTGGAATTGTACATGAGCAAGGAAAAATACTCAAGAACAACCATAAAAAATCACAAAAACAAGAATAAACGAAAGGCTTGGGTTTCTGATAGAAATTAATTCTTATCTCATGAATAGCAAATTGTGATCAAGGAAACGTACCTCATCAAGAAATTTTGTGACGTCATAGACTTTATTGCCGATCACGAACCATACCGATTTATTGTTATTATGCTGCGAAACCTCTTTTCTGGTCAGTTCCGGAGCCATCGCCCCTGCAAGAATGATTCTTGTCTGTATCGATGCAAAACAACGAGGACGTTTTGAGTTATAAGAACGACCATAAATGTTATGAGCACGAATCCGGTCCTAGCTATCATTCTAAATTCAGACGGGGAATTCTATCAAATGACGACTTTGGCACAAAAAATCTACTGCTTCGTAGAATGCAGGGACGGGAATTCATGACGCAATAATATTTCCACGTTTGCTGCAGTGTGCACGGCCACTGCTGTAAAAAGGCATAATCACAGTTGAAGGCCGTCTTTTCAAAATCACCTTCAAAATGAAATCAAAATACGTTGGAGGATAGCAGCAGAACAGTGGACTAACTACTAAACTATAGGAATTGTAAGTTAAGGGGCGTCAAATCTTCAAAGCCAGGTCTAGTTTCTATGCGATCTGCAGTTGTAAGAACCATTCAGCGAGATAAGGTAGCAATCGAATAAAATTCGGAAAAAAACCAAATGAAGTAATCCTTAGAATACCAGTATGGGAAGAAATGCAATTGTCGAGGTTGTCTCATTATTCACATAAAAACTTAAATGCAATCAATGAAGATTTTGAAAAAGCAAAAACGATAGCTAGTCGAATGCCACGAGCAGATTGATTTTAAGAGCTGAGTAAAATATTGTAGCGAGACTTTCGTAAGGCGTGAACGATTGATGACAAACAAACTTTCATCCCTCTTTGCGTCTTTCTCTCGAAAGCTGTGGAAAATTCGGCAAAGCAGCTCATAACTGGCACGTAAGAAGAAGAAATGAGAGATATTCATTTGCATCATTTTCGCTTCCACGCACATGAGTAACGGTGAATATAAAAATTTTCTATTGGCACTTTGAAATTTCAGAATCATTAGTAGCGATACGAAGGCAGTCATTCGAAGTTTGAGCTCTACAGTGTTATAAACCGAAAATTCAAGCAATATTTCAAAGACAGAATTTTGAGATCTAATGATTTATGTGTAACATGATACAAAGGATGTTCACGACCCTCCACATAATTTGAAAATGGGAATAATCTTCTTAGAAACATGAAGAATTTCCGTGACTCTATACCAACGCAGCGGAACTGAACATTACATGCAGCAATTGCATAGTGATATAATTCAGCATCAAGCTGGCACTTCATCAAATTTTGAATCATGTTTAACAATAGAAATAACTTACCGGATATAGTTACATGACGTCATGGATTGTGATATAGAAATTATGGGAAGGCGATGATATCAGCACTTTATTGGTAACTGAGCCAGCTTCCTTTTTGCTGCCTTAGTTTTATTCATTGTAGTCAACATAGACTATATTATGTACTGATGAATAGCACATACTAATTTTTGCACATTATTTGCAATTATATAACACGAAGGAACAAAAGCGGTGACTTTTGCACATGGACTGTCTGAACTTTGACTCCAGTATGACTGTTATGAGTCAAGGCTCATTTTCTGTTCATAAATTATGATTTAGCTCTTCCTTCGTTTGAATTTGGTAAAGAAATGAAAAGTGGACACCTGCTAGAATAAAGAATGAAACTCTCATCATTTTCGATTGTAAAAGCAAGCTTCAGAAAAAAAGCTGGCCAAGTAGGTTGAAGAACTTTGGGCTTGTACATCGTAGTACAAAGAAGAACCACTCTACAATTACAATCTTTACTAGGTAATGATAGAGGAAAATGCTAGAAGCCCTGAGATACTTGTGTCCAGTAGTTCACTTATGCATCCAGTCAATTTGAGAATCTGAAGATAAGGACAGCTCTTTACTTTCCTGGGATTGTATGCTTATCAAAATTACGATATAATGAGCGCAATTCGGGACAAAAAGCGTTTTCTCTTCTTATGCAGTGCTATCGTCTTCAGACAGACAAAAAGTCTGCAACAGCGATAACGTACTTATCGGTGAATCTCTAGAGTAAGCTCATTCATATGTAGTTGGGTAAAATACAGCTATGAACTTACTGTTTTATTTTATAATCAAAATAAAAAATACGCGCGTAGTAATTACTAATGAAAATTCATGAGAGCGTACGTATGATGTTGAAAAATCACTCATTATCTAAATGAGCCTGTTTATACAACTGCTGCTGGTGCTGACGAGGCATTAAGGACATATTATTAGTGCATAAGAACATGCTATGCACTTTCGTTCTACCGCAAAAGAACCGCATACACGATGATTAATAGATTATACAAGTGCAAGATTAGATAGCTGAGCAACCGAACAGTAAGAAACCGGAAAGCCAAAAAAAACTGGACATTTCAAATTGTGAGAACTTTAAGCTTGCTTGAAGAATCATCCTTAAGTACTTGTAACAGAGTTAACTTTTCGTGCTCAAGTGGAGACCATTTAACTGATACAATGTAATGTACCAAAATTGTTGGCATATAATGCTGGCACAAGCTTGTGAAAATAAACCTTTTTTAAATTTTGTTCGCTAAAGATGCTAAGAGAATTCACTGAACACTGATTCTGCATTTATGACTTACTTTTCTCTGAGAAAAAAGCTGTGCTTTTGCCACTAATTATGATTTCGAATTTTTATTTTCCGATTTGTGATTGTGATTGGACTGGAACTTCCATTTTACGAAAAGGTAAGACAACTGTTGAAGTGAAAAATTGTGTGTGCTAGATATCGCAATGCTTTCTAGACATTTTAGTCGAATTCTCAGGCATTTGTATATGCCTTATGGGACAAATTATTTGTAGGAAAGAGAAATAAGATTCAAAGACAAGTTGTAACCAGCAGGTAAACCGAATGTTAAAAATGCTATAAAAAATGATACGTTCTTACTTTCACTATCAAGGATCATCCCTAAAGCAGAATAATACGATTAGATACTGAAAAAAACGAAGGAAGGGAAAACAGATAAAGATGGGAAGTGACGTGTACTACATGAGCAAGCGCCATCAATTTTAGGACATGAACTTGAGAATGGAGTTGAGAAGCAGCTTGCTTTCAAGACAAAAACATGGCTTATGGTCTGCGTTGGATCGTTCGATCAATCGAGCCACCTGAATTCAAAGGTCGAAAAGCGATAAGAAACGCTGCACAATTCGATGTTACCACCACGCATTACGTGGGCGCTCGCCATACATCACGATCGATCCATCGTCGTTCAGTTAAAACTTCTATGGGAACTACTTGCACACTAAAAAGGCCTCTTGTAGCGAGGTATAGGAAAATGACTGGCAATTATATAAAGGTAAGAGGGAGTTCATTCGCTTTTCGGCGAACGAGTTGACCACCATCACTCTTGCGAGAGAGCTATCAAATCGGGGTGTTCTTTGCTCTATCTTGCCACCTGTTCCGCTCTGGTCATACGAATTGTCGATATAGCATAGTTAGGTTTTCTAGAGGTAAGATACGTAAGGTAAGTGGAAAATGCCGGATCATTCCACTCCAACTTCACATTTTTCGTATTTTGGAGCAAATAAAGTGATCGAATTAGGTGACCGTCGAAAGCAGAGTGATTGCTCGCTCTAGCACTTAATAATGGTGTTCAAAACTTTTTTGCCAATTGCCGATATGCAGGAGCGCTTGCTTTCCATCAAGCAATTTCTTTCAAGCCTATATGAATAATATCAATGAATATCATGACTTATAATAACGGGCTAAGGATGTTTACGTGACTTTGTGTGTGTGTTTGTGTGTCTGTTACGAAATTCGTGGAGCGTGTTCCAGCCAGCGTTTTAAGCCCAAATTTTGTATAGCGCATGCTACCTTCGTGAAAGTCCAACATGCAAAAGCACGAGTACATTCGTTGAGTGGATCCCTCAGAAATTGCGCGCCGAACGGGTCCACCTGGCTTCTGTACCGCAAAATTCGGTCCGTATCACCACTTTTGGCAGAGTCGTGGATGAGTTTGGTAAGCAAATGTGCAAGCGATGGAGTTTAGCCAGAAAAGTGGTCGAAAGTTTACTACGTAACGAAAACGGCGCCAAAACGAATTGGTTGTGTAAATAGTCAAGTTTCCAAGGTTCTAGCTAAGCGTTTGAGAAGATTTTCGCACAGAGATGTAGCTCACGGTTATCATTACCTTTACGGCGACTACCAAGTTATGACAAATCCAAAACCTATTCAAATTTGCGTCTGTCTTCCTGCGAAAAGTTTCATCCACGCGAAATCACCGATCTCACGTGAAAAGACTTTCTAAATGAGTGGTTGTTTTTATTCGTGGTAGTCGGCATAGCGCGGTGAGTTCCAGTGCCACGATTTTACGAGAATGAGTAAGGCACATAGATAGTAGAGCCAGTGCAAACCTCTGCGAAGCAGAGGTGACGCACTGGTATAAACATATTGCACAAAAATGACCTATAAATACCATGTGCAAAGATGCAAAACTCTGCAAGCACTCCGCCAAAATGTGATATCAACAAAATCTTTTTCAAATATGATCACCGATGTTTACGCCTATTACCGAGTTTAGAGCATGCCGGAGTGATGAACGATAATCGATGAAGAGAAAGGAACTAATTTTCTCAATGCAAAGAAATGGAATGCTCATACAAATTCGCGAACGAATATCAGGCTTAGGTGGGCAAACTTCAGTTTGCCAAATTTTCACGATTTTTTGGTTCATGATTGCCGAACCGTATTCAACGCCATAATTTCAAAGGAAATAGCAAAATTGCAGCATGAATTCCATGAGAGGAAAGGTTGTGAGTTATCTTTTTTCAGACTCTCGCAGATGCCATATATTTCTGATGATATGTTCAATCGGTAGGACACCATTGGAAGTTGTGTCACAATCTCCTCAGAAAACGATAGATGATGAAGATGTCGCAAAGCGCTATAGTTATATTCCGCTTCGAGATTGAATATCAGAAATTTTAAGATTCTGGTGTTCGTGGTCTTGGCAAACTATTTTAGATTTTCGGGATTATCGAAGGAAAGTTCTAAAGTTGTCCAGTGAATGGCCAAAGAACCAGGATGCTCAAAGCTATCTATGCTCTCACTCAAACACAGGAATTAACTTTGTTTTTATTTACTTCTTTTAAACTTGCCTATTTAATTTGATTGATTTTTTAATTTTGATTTTTAATTTTCAAATTAAATACTAATCAGCGTATTAGTCTAAAGGTTATCTGGTAATAAAATAGGAGAAACTGCTCAAGTACTCTGTGCTGGAATCAGTTGGTTATTATTCTGCGGACTGTGGTGTTCACTAAAATTCATCGAAAAAGGTGACCAAGTGAGTAGTGAGACGTTCCGGGAACGAATCCTGGGAATAGAATTGATTCAAACTGCAATATAAAAAAGAGAAGAGGAAGAGAGCATGCATGAGTCCAACTGAATATTGTTTGAAAAAAATTTTTTTGATTTCTTACTTTGGATTGAAATTGCGGTATTCATTCGATTTTTGGATGAATGTACGAAGTTCGTCTGCTATGAAATCTGACGGCAAAAAAATTTATACAGAACCATAGCAACCAGCACCGTGCCGTTGGAAAAAGTTCAGCCCGAACTGGTTAGCAGACTATATTGTAGTAGTTTAAGATACCCAAGGCCGTCTACCAGGCTGCACTGATAACAACAGATACAATGTTGTCGGCTACGTCAGCTATATTTGTGTTTTGTGCCCAACAGTCTAGTAAATGCCTTGGGAAAGCAAACAAGAAGAGTTAGAAGCAAACTAGTCGCGACTGTCGTGGTTGCCTACGAGTAAGTGGGTAAGTGCTCTGTAAGTGCTCTAAACAAACCAAACAACTAACATAACTCACATACAACTGATAATCGGGCAATTTTACCTTCCTGTTAGGAAACTGTCATTCCTTGTAGGCGTACCTGCGTTACTAGAAAGTTCCGAGGAAGACTTGAACTTACAACATTCACACGCAAGTGGAGAAAAAACTTTACAGTAGGGTCAAGATGTAATGTACTGCGCATAACTATGGGGCCACACTAATGTAGTACCCACGTCAATGGAATCTCGTGACAAAGTGAATCACAAAAGTGCATCATGTAAGGAGACATGACACAGTCTTTACAACTAGGATGGATGACATACCTCAACGAAGGAAATGTGTTGAAGCTGAGTGCGCACCTCCTAGTTGCGGCTGAACAAATGAGGCTATGGTGTCAAGAATCTTTTTCAACAGAATGCACAACCCACATAACATCGTATTCACTATTTCGCCTACATGAAAAAGATTATACAATATGTTCCCAACCGTGCAGTGCACTAAAATGTCCAAATCATGCATATTCTGTTGACCAAAGTGAGCAAACAGATGAGCAAGCTTATCTGTTTTCCTAGATTTACTGTTTTCAGCAGAACTGAGCAACTTTTGCCTTGCTACAGATGTGTGCGCTCTTTCGTCTGACCGTCTGCAACTTTTCTAGCCCTAGCCTTTTGGTCTTTTGTTACACTACGTAATGGTTTTCTTTATTCCGCATGTTTTGTCTGTCTAAAAGTGAAACATTGTGATTTGTTCCTGCCAACAGTTATCGACCATCTTAATTTAGAAAATTGCAGCCTTTTTCGTCATCAATGAAAAAAATGAGTCTGGTCATCAGCGATTGGAAAACTGCTTCCACGGAGTTCTTCTGCTTATTTTGTAATGTGGATCTCAAACTTTTGAAAGATTTAGAAAAGTTGGAGCATCTCTAAACGCTGAGTTTTACAGTACCAAAACAGTTTCAAAACAGAAGATTTCAACAATGTCAAGATTCGTATGTAGTCGAACTTGATTCCATACGAGTTTCAAAGTACTTGTCCCAAACAACGTTCAAGACTTTTAAAACAACATGACGATCAAACAAACAAAGACTGGATGAAAAGCATTTGAAAGCTTTTTGCAATCTTTGCATCGAATGTATACATTCACTGTGCAAGGAAGTGTAAACATTAAAAATTTAAATCGATGAGAAACTTGGAAAAGGCTAGTCTTGGCAATCCATATTGAAAATAGGTCGATCGGCGTTAGAGAATCGCTACTGAGGACGTTCGCAGATGTAAAAGTCGATAAACTTTGCGTTCTCATAAGACGCCGAAAGGCAAAAACTGTCCTTTTACATAGATTAGGTATTCGAACTTTTTCATGAAAAACCGTAAAATCTAACTATGAGTTTAAGTACACGAAAGCTCTTATAAATCGCAAATGTGCGTTCGTGTTGGGATAAGCAGGTGAGATGTACTAATTTACAATTTTCTTGCATTATTCGTACCTGAGAGCCCCGTACTTTGCTTCAAAAAAAAAGTTTCTCATATAAAACGGCTGACTGACTTCTTGACAAATCTTCTAAATTAGTTTTAGGCAATTTTTTATAAAAAAATTTTTAACTTTTAAATAAAAAAATCATTACGATTTTTTATAAAAAAATTTTCTCAAAATCAAACTAATCCCTCTCTCCTTACTGAAGAGTCCCGGAAAGGGTCTAGAACTCAAAACTCCGTCTAAGGAAAGGGACGAAACGGAGACGAACATATATAAAATTGTTTTTCCATTATATTAGGCAATTTTTAGGATACATTTCTAGGGCAGTCATCGTTGTGGATCAATGGATTACTGCACTCACAAGGAAAGGATGGTTGGTCGAAGTGGCCTTTTGCGATGATTTGTATACACTGTTGGAGTGCGTAAAATGCTGATTCCAAATCTATCCTGCTTTTCTGCGGGCATTCTTGAACGAGGAGTTACCAGCGTTTAAAGGAGCAAAAAATGATGTTTTCTTGGATAAAAACAATTGCAACAATTTTCCCAGCGCTTGGATGAAACAACCGGAGTGCAGATGTATCTCATCTAAGAGTATTTATTCTATAGAGTATACAGAGTAGATTTTATAGAGTGCTGGAAAATTTACCACCGGTCCGTTTGAACGCTAGCAAAAAAGTTACTACTGTTTTATATTAGGTTGGTGCAAAAATAATGAGCATTTTCACAGGACTTTTTTCAGGATAACTTTTCTCCATCAAACTTGTTTCTTTGTAAAGGTTTCAGCACATTGTTAGAAAGCTTTTTTCATGCTCTATCTAATGATGTTCAAAAGGGACTTCTAGACCACTTTGTTAAGAGTTTATAGAGCTTCAAATAATCGCACTCAAAACCAGATTTTCGTTGCATTCATTTTTCTGGCCAGAATTTGAGCGCGAATGAAGATGGTTTATTAGCCGAAAATTTAGCCGCTATATGTGATGGAAATTGTCTACATTATGCATACTTAGATATCTTGTTTGAAGTTACCTAAAGTGAGATATCAGCAGCTTAACATGGGTAATGGTTGTGGTCATTTTAGAGCCCATAACTTTCTTTTGTAGAATGCAATCGCTCAAACTTTGCCCATCTCCGTATGCGCGAGGGTAAGAATCCTATTAGCAATTTTTCCAAAAACATCCAGCTGTTCAGTACGCAAAATTAGAAATTCTATACTTCAGTGAGGCCTACTGAAAAAATGCTAAAAGTTGGTATTTTTGCATCTCGATTTCTTCCTCTTCGCTAATCTTTTTTCTCCAAGCCCTTTCCATGTATATTTGTTTTATTGGCTTGCAGCTACAAGATAGGCTGCTTATAAATTATAATAACAAAGTGTGAAAGGAGTTATGTTTTGTCAAAAATAAGACTTCAGAAAAAAAACTTTTTTTGTTTTTTAATCCATATTTTTCTGCCCATATGAGATATGAGTGTAGCTCAATGTGCGCTGTGCTGCGAACGGTTCGCTACATCTGATGGTCTTTACCGCATTTCAAAATGTAGATTTTATAGGAAGTTACAGCAAGTAAAAATGAAAAATGGGAAAACGCTCATTATTTTTGCACCAACCTAATATTATTTGCACATACAATTTTTATTCTCTAATAACGCTCATAACTCCTCGTGCAGGAACGCGCCACAGATAATGAAGACAGATTTGGAATCAGCGTTTTATGCCCTCCAACAGAGTATACAACCCATCTCAAAAGGCCACTTCGACCAACCATCCTTTCCTTGTAAGTGAAATCGCGACTACTATGTACTCGTCAAAAATTATTGAAGGTGAGAATTTCTTGGTAGAATTGCAAAATATAAACAATTATTGTTTTCCCAGGCTCTACCTCGGTAACACAGCGAACGAAAGTAAGTCTGCTAAACAAGTTTTTCCTTCGGCTCCAAAAAGTTTCTTGCCGGGACATTCATGTGTATTTGGGGACACCAGTATTAGATCCCGGGTAAAGTCCTCACTGTTCCTCTTTGTGGTTTATCTGAAAGCTATGCATGTGTATGTTGCGTAATTTCAGCAATTTTATATTCGACCTCGAACAAAATTCATAATGTGGGCACAATCGCATATGTTTTTTGAAAGCTTCATCTTTTCGAGAACCTTCGCATGCAAAAGCAAGAACGATAACCGCTAGAAATTTCTTCGTATCCGATTGTCATGTAGTACGCCTTCTCCCTTTCTCCATACCTGAACACTATGCGTCTGACAAAAAATTTAGTTTATTACCAAACTCTCACCACGACATCCTCCTTTATTGACGGTTGCCGATTTTGCATCATGCTGATAACTTCCTAAATTATCGTAATAAAACCTCACAAAAGGACGGGTTGGCAGTTTCGTTGCGGAACAATAGATAAACTTATCAAGAACTGGCCCAAAGGGTAGTACTTACTTCCGTGACATTGGGCCTTTCCCATCCACACTGCCTAGATGGAAGCACTGCTTCACATGTTGTTACTAATGCGAAAGTCACCAGTAAGACTTTGAGACGCATTCGGCTATATTTTTTGTGTCTGAAAAGTTGCACATAGACAAACATCAATAATCTCACAAATAACTGTTGGGTTTGTACTCACTCTAATGTACCATTATCTGCGAAAGACCAAAGTAGGTCAACATGATCAAGAATTCTCGCCCAGAAATGAAGAATTTCAAGTTCTGTTGATTCGTCTAGAGAGATTGAGGAACATATAGGGAAAAACTTTATTTTTTGCCTAAGAGCCAAATAATTCGAATAAAACTATGAAAAAGCTGGAGAAATACTACCAGTACGAAAGATGCGTTTGTCAATTATAGACAAGTTTGTTCAACGGGATGCAGCTTCAAAGAATGTAAAAGATGTTAATCTCCTCGAACGATCGAGTTTCGTAGCAGAACAAGCTATTTATGGTGCTATTCTACTTGCTACTACTACTTATTCCAGTATCGTCTGAGGATGAGAATTGTCCAGGTGGGTTTCTCCATCTACAATTCATCATTTCCTTTCTAATTTCAACAAAGCAATAACGTCTCACTCATGCGAATGACATCAACCAATTTGAAGTTTATAAGGTGATTTATGCACGTAATTTTTTTCCGCTTTTTTCTATTTCTAAAGCAAAGCAGTTCTTTGCCTTACAAACATTCTTGCGCACGCAAAAAAACTCACATCTGCCGCTGTTTGATAATGGATTGATATACGTTTTGAGCAGCAGATCGAGCAATTCTGTTACGTTTTGTATTCTGTCTAAACTCTTTCCAAAAACGAAGAGATAGACGATTAGCGACCACCAGCTGGTGAAAAGAATTTCGAGAACTGGGTGAGAGAAGAGAAAGAGACGGTAGAAAATTCATCAAACGAGAGGGAAGCTGTTACTTTCGCAATCTGTGAGTAAGATATTATGTTCAAATATTCAATCAGTTGGGTAACACTAGTGAAAGTTTGAATTCAATTGCACTTTTCTTTTAACAAGAAGATTCAGAAAACTTCAGGATGGTGCGGAAATCCGGTAGAAGAGATTAAATTATGGACGGACAATCCACACATTTGGAGATGTGAATTGCCATCTGTAGTGGTGTTACCATGCGCAGAGGAAGCATATATTAGCTGTCGTAGACTGGTAAGTTTAGTCAACCTTCCTTCATCGAGTGTTCGTCAGATTCTGCACTGTTTAGCTATGGCTAATTTTCGCGAATTTTTCCTTTCAAAGCGATAGCTGTATATAAATTGAGCTTAACTGTATGTAATTTGAGCTATGGTCCATAAGACCTCATACGTGTTCACTGCCAGAGTCACATGATACTCCGATGGGACCTCATTTCTGAAATAAAATTTCAAGTTTGCGAAATTGAAGTGGCTCAAATTAGCACAATTTTAGATATGAATTTCAAATTTCAAGATCAAATTTCGAGGCTAAAATTCAATGATGCTGATCTCTTAAAAAGTCTGCTTACGAACTTTCATCAAACAAATAGGATGAATAATTTTTTTAGCTAGCACTTTTTAGCTAGCATGACAGGCACTAGTAATCACAACATTCAGGATGATCTAGGCGGTGATTTGTATCTGATGCTCTTCGCGGACTCACCAGATAATATAGGCATCGATCCAGATTTTTGTGCTAAAGGCAGGATCGACACACTCCGTACTGTAGTGAGTTTTCTTTCACTGACGAGAGGAAACTTTTTTGTCAACGCTTCTCTAAATCTTAACATGCTGAAGTACTAACACAAATTATGCACACACCATCTAGTACGGTGAATAAGGATGATCGCGTTAATTAAGCGAAATGAATATTAGTAGATCGTTATGTCAGCGAAGTACTTGCTCATAAGGTAGTACAGGCGAAGGAAAAATAGCTTCCAATACATCTTTTTTTTTGCAAGTTTGTTTACTGATTCGCTAAGAGAACGAGTTTGGACATAGAAATACTTTTATAAACTTTTACTCTCACTACACCGTTTTTTCTTCATAAAAACAGTGGCTTCGCTTCATTGGAGTTGTACAAGAAAATTTACGGCTTATTGTAGACCCTCAGCAAGAATTTTCCTGAATCAATCATTTGTCTCTCAGAATTCATCCGCACATTTGGTCATGATGCATGTTCAAGGCTTAGGCTCACTGAACTTAAATTCAAATCATTGCAGATCGATTGCAGAGATGGGAAGTGGACTTTACCAAATAGTACCATCCAAATGACACACATACTTTGTGACCAGTACATCATCAACAAGACTAAGGCGGAGGAATCACCATTCAAGCCTCTGCCCTTCAAGCCGGAAGTAATCACTAGTACGGTCGGTACGACTACTGAAATAGATGAAAGCACTGAAGACGAGCCTGCAAGTATCGAATCGTCTTCCGCATCCACAACGATGAGTACGGAAGATTTGAGAAACCTTGAGACCACCGCGCACAATGCAACCCGCTCAACGACCGCAGCTGGAACTAGCGCGGAAATCCCGCGAAATATCACTGCTACCAATTTTCTAGCCTTATCATTGACTATGAGTTCCACGGAAATTCCGACAACGACTCGAATGAGCAGTTTTACCAGCACAACGAGCTCAGGTTACATATCCAACTCCACAGTTCCCCAAAGCACCACCACTATTCTCCTTAATACCACAACGACCTCCCAAAGTCAAAAACCGGAGCTTGGGTTTTTACCAGGAACTACGCTAAAACACACCACCATTGCAATGATTACCGCTCCGATGCCTTCTTCCACCATAAACTCTACTAAGCCGTTGTTTCAGCCAACTTCCACTATCCGGCCTACAACTCAAGTCACGAGCGAAGTGATCGTACAAGAGAATAAGCTTAATATCACCAATATGGCCGTAACGATGACCTCCACCCCAAAAATCGCTAAGCAACCCATTAAGACAACCTTGAATATCACTTCTACTGCTTCTCCCATCTTCACGCTACCCACAAAAGCGCTCGTTCCAAAAATTGCTCAAAAACCCACCGCTTTACCCATAAGCAGTACTTCTACTTCCCGTTTCTCTACCGAAAGCAGTACTTCAATTACGAAATTGTTGGCTCCCATGCCAAAAACCACTGCAGCCATCAAAATGAAGACCACGAAGGGTCAACAAACGGTTGAAATTTTTACAAGTGTTGTCCCCGAGATAAAAGTTAGTGGTACAAAGGCACATTTAACAGCAAATGGTACGGATGAAACAACTACAGCAGCTGCAAGCAGCTCTGACGTCTACAGCTCTACAACGTTAAGGGGACAATTTCCAGGGATAAACACTCCAGAACCCGCTTATGTTACAAACGTAACAAATTCTATACTTGTGCTACTAGTGGAAACTGTCCGTCCTATAACCACCTCGAATATTCCAACGTCAACCGCAGCTAGCGAAGTCACAGCAACGACTGCTCAGCAACCGGTCAATGTTCGAGATTCCACAACGTCAACCACAATTACAGTCACATCAACGACTCCTCAGCAACCCGTCAGTGTTCAAGTTCCCACAGCTACAGAATTGAACCCAAGTACAACAAAACGTAAAATCACAATTCCTTCTTTCGAACCTGAACCAATAATTCTCCTATCTCCGACAACCACAGAGCAACTGCCTACGATTAGCGAACAGCCATCTGACCAAATCTCTCCCGCTGATATACACGTTCTACTCCAACCACCTGATCCTTACGATGGTGTAATTGAACCTGTAGTGATTGTGGAGGAGTTGGCAACACTCAGACAGTCAAGGTCTGGGGATATCAGAAAGGAGAGGCTGAGGTTTCGAAAAAAGGTGGTAGCAGCGAGATCTCGAAAGACACGGCCGCGGACGGCCACAAAGACGAGAAGGATTTTAGCGAGGCCTCAGAAACGCCGAAAAGAAGTGCGAATATCAGACACAGAGACGAAGTCAAGAAGGCGCCAACATGTGGAGAGAAAGACCCTTTAATTCAAAGAGGAGATGCTAAGTGCAATACTCTACTGTTCATTTTGAAGTATTCATCCTGTACATTTATTTAGTAAATTATGGCATATAAATAAAAATTTAGATGTCTACAGGCAAGATGTCAGTTCTATCGTAACGAATTTGAAGGTGTAAAAATCAAATTGCAGTCTTTCAACCTCATTATAAACACTATACATGCTAATGTCACAACCTTTCAAATTTTCATATGTGAAAATTACCGTATACGTTCTATCTCACTTCCAAACAAGAACAATAACAATGAAGATAACAACAAAGAGAAAAAATTGAGAAAATAACAAAAATTATGAACAATAATTGCGAGATTCACACTTCCCATCACTCTTCTTCCATATCCTCACCCTCTTCACCAGCATCTTCCTCCGCTTGTGACCACCATGCAACACAACCGAGACCAGTTTCTGCCATAGTGCCAATTATTTCATACGATTTCTCTTTCTGAGCCTCTTCAGGGGTCAGATTTGGTTTAACATCTCTGAAGAACATGGTATGACTATGAGTTTTGCCCTTCCATGGTCTACAAAATTACCTGAATATATTTTCAACAACTCGAAAACGAACTGTCTTTCCGGGGTCCATATAAAGTTTTGCGGGTGGTTGTCCGTCTTCTGCTGGATATTCCCAATACCAAACCTAGAATGCACTGAGCAATGAGCCAGATTTACTCCTCACTGGCTGCCAGCGAAATAAAATTGAGAGGAACGAAATCATAGCATTTTCAGTCAAAGTCGCTTGTGCACCCATACAGTTTTCGTTCAGGAGTTGATAGTGAACTGCTGGATGTTTGCTCATGGATGACCTTGTCTCTGTGTCGCACCAATCGCCATTAGAAAGCAACTATGGCGCTCTCCTTCACCGCCTCATTGGCTCAGGGGCAGAGCGTCTGTCTAGTAAACAGAAGGTCGCTGGTTCGATTCCAGCATGAGGCATCCCTTTTGCGAACATGAACGTACACTCCATCTCGCATACAATCATAGCAGGGACGCGTATTATACAGTGTTTATGTGGTCTTCACATATACAATATACATGTGCTTGTCAGGAGAGGATTCCGGATAGCATTATTTGCTAGATCGACATTGACCGGTGGCAGAAAGTTCAATTGCTGTCAACATAATTCATGAAACTGCTCTTTTCTTACTGATAAACAGACAAATAATTTTCGAATCAAAAAAAAACTTGACAAAACTTCGCGAAAAATTTTAATTAGAAATTAAAAACATCGCAAAAAATTGTGAAAAATATTAGGTCGTTCCGAAAGTTCTTTCCGTTTCTCTAACCTATCATAAAAACACGTGGAGTGGAGGTAGGGAAACGCTTTAGGCACTATCCGACGCAGCGTTTCTTCCTCTTTCTAGCAGTCATAATCCCATAACGCTTACTCTTGTGATCACCGAGATAATCGCCGAAATTTTGAACACATGGTTTTTACCATGTCCAAATTTGGCAATTTTTCACAATCTTCGTTTTTAACTTTCGAAGAAGCTTTGATAGCAATCAAATAGAGTAAACAAAGTGCAATGCAATACATTTTTTGGCAAATCCAGCTGGCTTTTCAGTAATTTTTGAGATAATTTTTCCAAAAGTCCACTTTTGCAAAGTCCCAAAATAGAGAAAAGCCCCGAACACTGGCAAGTATACGGATTTTGAAGCTTTTTAAAGTCAGTTACGATTATCCACAATTTTTACAAAGCAACTGAACGTTTACCGCTTGTAAATATAAGGTTTCGCATTTTACGTGTACAGGCCGGGGCGGGTTCAAAATCAAGAATTATGGAAACTTTATCGCCAAAGACTCCGCAAATTGGAAAGAAAATACATTCATTAGAAAGAGAAGAAAAAGCTGCATCGAATGACACCTTAGTTGTGCGCCATCTTATGTTCAATGGCTCTTGGCGTCCCCAAGAGTGGAATTTGATAGCATCAGAAAAATAATTCTAAAAAATTTTTAAGGCTAGCTATAAACGGCGAAAAATTGCATTAAATTGCACTTTGTTTGCTCTATCTGACTGCTATCAAAGCTTTCGTAAAAGTCAAAAAAGAAGATTGTGAAAAATTGCCAAATTTGGACATGGTAAAAACCATAGGTGCGAAATTTCGGCCATTATCTTACTGACCACAAGAGCAAGCAGCACAGGAATACGACAGTTGAAAAGAGGAAGAAAAGCTGCGTCGGATAGTGCCTAAAGCGTTTCCCCAACTTCATTCCACGTGTTTTTGTGATAGGTTGAAAAAACGGAAAGAACTTTCGGAACGACCTAATATTACAAAAATTTTTTTGGCCGCCAAACTTAGTCAACATTGAGCGTGGATATAATAATGGCGTAGGCTGGACAGTCTAAGTACAGGAAAAGAATTTCAATTCGTATAAAAAAACTGAAATGCAACTAATAGCAATTTCACTATATTTCAATTTTCCAGCAACAAAGTCATGCCAAAAAGCGTTTCAAGTAAGTGATAGAGATAGTGTTTCAATATTTTTGTAAGATCTGTAATGAATTGGAGTTTGAAGTTATCAAGAGAGCCAGAGATCGACCCTGATGAGTGTTAATAACGATTCGAATCCTCTTTGATCTCAGGGACTAGTTTAGTGCGAAATGAGGTGAGGTGTTAAACTTTACTATTTTTTCATATTAGATGGACACATACCTGTTCGCTCTGTTCGAATACATGTGGCTCAGGGAGTCGTTCAGCAGGTATTGTGATATCTTCGAAAAACTCCACAGATAATTTCAAGCCATGACTATTAGATGCGACCACTCGTGCTTGGATTACCTCATCAACATGTGGTCGGAATACAACGAGACGGAACTGAAAAGTATGCCGCATTTTTTCGGTAGTGAAAGTGGCCATACTAAAGCACACCTTAACTCGCGTATGTCCACTGCCTTCGCCAGGTAAGATGTAGAGGACACCCACTTCTAGTAGATCGTATACGCAAATGCAGAGCCCCAACTCTGGCACTACTTTATTTGAGAGCCTCTGATTGATACGACGTCTGAGCACCTAGAATGACCATGAAACTCAGTAAAGGCACTACCCGTACCGTTACAACTTACCGATCCCAGCTCCTTATCGAGTTCGTGAGGCTTCACAGCAACGGTATCTTCTAGCAGTGCCAGCACGAACATGTTCTAAAAGCTTCACGCTAGATCTCTCAGCGTTAGTCCTCCAAGAAACTGGGAATCCAAAAGTCCATATATGCTTGAGCCAGAACTACCCACCAAATCTATGTTAGAAGTCAAACTGCAGATAATTTATTAGCGCTGCATAAAGAGAATGTAAGTCTAATGAACACTGAAATTATTACTAAAAAACATACGATATAGACCCGAGATCAGTTTGAGACCAGAGATAACAACATAACGCATGACATCAAAATAGTAATGTTATTAGTAATAGTATAACAGTAATTTCACTATACTACAAGATATTTTTCATACATCTTCCTTGCAAGGTAGTCATTTCCACTGGCGCGGTACATCAATGCAAGATTATGAGCAGCAAAGCGGCGCATGTCATACCTAGAAATAAACGTATATGGTACTGCCAGGCATTTCGCAAACAATGACAATAATCATTCCACAGACTCACATGCTTTCCGGCCGTAAAACCTCATTTCCCTCTTCATCGACATGGTAAACGACTGGCGGTGGTTCTGCCAACACCTAAAAGCAACAATTATGCGCTGTTGGATGTGACGAACATAATGAGAGAGTCGGAAATAAAAACACAACACATCGCACTCTCACCTTTTCATAAAAGTATATTGCGATAGGTGTGATAGACATCTGATGGAACATACGGGCGATATTGTAGTAGACTTCTTGCCGACAGTTCCTATTTTTCTCATACAGTTTCATAAAAGCAACTCCCTAGAAAATGTATGTTAAGAGACTAGGATGCGGAAAACTTAACGAATGTATTATGGACTATCAAAAAAGAGAGGCTTTTCAGTCTCACAATCAGACACGTATTTCTATTTGATTCGAAAAATGCTCAACAACTATTCTTTGACTTAAACATCTAGACAACGAGTAGAAAAGGTTCAACAATTTACCCTGATTGCGATCATGTGCCTACTGCTGAGGTCCTTTTTGCATGACATGTGTGTGAACGTCAGCGCCAGAAGCAAGCAGACCAACGGGTTGTTCTTATTCTGGTTCCAAACACGAAGATATTCCCCTAGACAGAGTAGATATGAAGAGAATCACTCCATCAAACGAATTCTACTTACCCAAAGCATGTCGGTAGGTTCCCGTTATGAGCGAATTGTTACCAGAAATAATTTGAAGTGCATAATTTCCCGGAGACTGTAAGAACACGGATTACGGCATTGCTATGAAAGAGAAAAACCGAGCTCCTACCTTGGCTAGGGATCTCATGATGTACCGATGATAGCACACATTTTGCGAGTGCACGAAAACGTAATTCATCGCATTGAATATGCGTCTCGAAAGTACCTCACGGGTATTTGGCAGAGTCAGTTGATACGCCGTCTGCTTACAATCTCACTGCGTTCAAATTATATAGGGTAGATGAAAACTCACGTTTGTAAGACTGTGAAACCATCGAACATACTCAAACGCTACGGACCATGACTGTGCTTTGATGGCACAAAAGTATAGAAGATTTTGGAATGTTGATGATCTATACTATACTATTTAAAAGCTGGTGAAGACAAATTTAGAGTTACAAATTACTCACTTCTCAGATTTAGTGATGCGAGGCTGTAGAAACGCATAACAACAGACAACAAGCATATCCTGAACAAAGACAACTTAGATTAAGAATGTTTCTTCAAATCTTACGCACCTGATAGCGTTTAGCAGATAGCAAGCACTCAATGAGCCTGAGACAATAGTCGTGCATCTGCAAGAAGAAATGAGACAATGTTTGAGAGAGGAGTTTGGTGAAGAAGCTTACCAGCGCAGGATCCATGTCATCAACACCACGTCGCTCGCTAAAAGCAGCCGCACCTAGACGACGTACGAACTTCTCCCAGTTCGTGTTTGTGATGGCATTCATAGCGGCAACTCGTAACGTATTACTGAGGAAGAATCCTAAATTCTGTCATTTGCAGAATTCTAAATAAGGAGAATAAGGGAACGATAACCAAATAAAAGCGATAATAAAAAGAGATAGAACTGAATTTCCGTTTAGATTTAAAGCAGTATATATAACACAACGAGGATTTTATTATTGATGTTCCTACTCTACGGAGCTTCGCATTCTTTTTCACAAGTCTGAGAGAGAACGCAACGCACCAGTTTTCGTACTTCTCCGCCTTCCAACGCTTTCCTGACTGCGGTGCACTTCATAAAAGTACGGTGTGAGGAGCATTCTACAAGTACGAATGAACTGTTCCGTCTTCTGCGAGTCGAAGAGCACATCGGTTTGACGAATGAGTAACCTCTCATCCTAAATATGCGTGTGTAGCGAAACTTGGTTGAGCTAACTCGTTTGCAACTATGATATAGGCAAACCGGCAGATGCGTGCATGTATCCAGATCATAGTCCTGGAGCGTTTCCAGGGCACGATCAGACTGTCCCATTTTCTGCTGCAGACCAGATAGATTGATTCTAGCGTCGACATGCCCAGGATTGATTTGCAAAACTTTTTCGAAAGATTCCATAGCTGTCGGGACATCTTTCAATGCCTAAATTTGTCACTAAAAAAATTAACGAGATTTTGAAAAAAGATTAAAGGAAGCATGAAATGGAAAAATGGAACGCAGAAACTTACGGAAGCTGTATTTCCGTAAATGAACCACATTTCTGCATTCTCGCAGTAGTTGTTCCATTCCTGTAGATTTTCCAAGAAAACCTAGACAAGATGTTCAAATAGAACCCACGGGGAAATATCAAAAGTATGCGACTAGGTATGACTTTACCTTTGTGGTTTTGAACGCGTCACAATTGTAGAACGCTCTAGCTATCTCGAGTACATATGGTTCATCCTCGTGATTTGATAGATTTCGTTTAAGTAGTACAGCTTTCAGAGGCTGAACTGACAAATCTTGCAATACTCAAAATCAAGAGCTTATAGAATGAATTTAAACTTTAGAAAACAGTTTGCTGCTACGACCCACGTTAGCTAAGTCTCTTTTGCCCAATCCAATAAAGCAGACAATGAGTCGACTAAGTGTTCTTGTGCTAAAGCTATCCTCTACATGAAACTCCACTTCACCTTTCGGTGGGAATGGTTCAACAGAGTACGTACCATGTGAAAGCGAAATCTAAACTCGATGTAAAGTAAGCGTAGTCTAAAGTATTTTGAAACAAAAGTCATACCGACATGGCAGGAGATCCATCCATTTTGTTCGTAACCGTAATTCCGTCACATAATGCAAAAATTGATTTGGCAGCTTCGGTAAATTTGTTCTTAGCTATCCACATGCCTGAAATTCATATGTATGATGCGCCCAGAACGCAATCAGTATATCGCAAACCTATCAATGTCTCATGCTGGGTATCCGCAGATCTGCCAAACTCTTTGCTGCGCAGTACGAAAGCCTCGAGAGCAAGTATAGCCCGATCTTCGTCATTTATGGTGATGTAATACTGTGCCACCTACAAACCACTGCCCACATAAAATCAGCCCTTTACGAAATAAACAGAAACGAAAATCGCAAAAATTTTGAATGCAAAACTTACCGTCTTAATCAGCTCATGGAACCACTCGAAATCAACACCTGCTTGAGAAGGATTTATCATTTGTGCTGCTTGTAGTCGAGTACGCATTGCCAGTGGACGGAGATCTCAACTAAAGAGATGGAACCCCATGTGTTGACGAGCAAAATCAACTCACTCAGTATGTCCAACATTTCTATACGATTTTCGTAGTATTTCCAATTTTTTAGATCCAAGCGAACAGCTAAACAAGCACATTTGAAGTATATGAAGCATGTCCCAATCAGTTAAGTGCTAGAGAAAGGAGATTACCTCGTCCGTAGCAGGCAGCAGCTTCTTCGATGAGTTCAAGCTTTTTTGACTCATCTCCCCAATGCGCCCAGTCTTCGGCAGGTGTGCGTGGATCCAGATGCGCGGCCAGTAGACCATATCTACAACGTGTTCAACATTGATAAAACAAGGTTAAGAAACGAATTGTAGATAAAAGGTTAACACGAAAATGGCTTACTGCAAGCTTTTCTGATAATCGCCTAGCTCTTGGTAGATATCAGAGACCTGCCGGTACGATGCCGCATTTCGCGGCTCTTGACGTATAACCTAAGGAATGCGTAATGAATAAAAGTCTGGAGTGATTAATATATTATGTATAGACAACCTCAAGCAGAACAGCCAATGCCTCCTTGGTGTTTCCTCTTGCGTATATGACATTTGCATGTCCAAGCAATGCATCCATAGTTTTACTCAGTTTTCGTGGAATTCGTTCTCTTTCGGTAGTGGAGTCTGTTGCAGCGGCAGAGGTTATCGGTTCATCTGTTTCCATTGAGACGGCTGATGGAAGGACATCCTCTCGGCGTGCTCCAAGTTCATCATTCACAATCTAGACATACGACAATAATTACCAGTTAAAGGCGATATCTGATTAGTTTGAAAAAAAGAATGAGAATCCTCTGTTCCTCCTCAAACAATGGAAGTGACTTCCAAAACACAGAAAATGAATTGCAGTCCAAAGCTGATGCTTACTTCCTGCATTAAATTCCTTATATGGACGGGAAGGTCACCACCAGCTCGCGATGTGAACTCGGATTTGACAGGATCTCTCTGAAATGCGAATGGATACGCTTCGAATGTGCTTGTGATGAGTTTTTGCGCACCTGCGGTTCTTCTGCCGCGCCATCTTCAAGATCTTCCTCATCTTCCATCGATTCTCCTGCGAAAGTTAGTTTAACAACCTCCCTAAATGTATTTCTTTGATGCCCTACCTGCACCATCCGCTGCCATTTCCTCTTCTATAGTCTGTCCACCCGTCAATCGCATGAACTCGTCATAGTCGATTTCGTTGCGCATAAACCGACCAAGGGCTCTGTCATATTCGCCATCTTCTTCGTTTGACACTCAAATAGATTTTTTTTTGTTTTGACTGCGAGACACGCGAGCAACGAAAAAAACTCTATTCAAACAACTCTATTCAACTATTCAACGATAGAGGAATTACTTCACTAAGCCCCATAAAATTGCGTTTATGATACAACCGAAACCTTACCTGGAAGTTCGCCTGATACATCTACGCCTCCTATAGTGCCATCGTATGCAGGTGTTGCGAACTCGCCTTAATTCCGCAAAGTATAAAAATGTCTACGTCGTCCGATCTCGAAAATGATGGTGTTACTTTTGCAAAGTACTTCATTGTTCTTCTAAGATTGAGCAGTGCCCTCGGCAATTACGAGATTTCAACATTTTTATGCAGAAAAGAAATGGAAAAACGAATCGTGAGATAAAAAATCACCCGAGTTTTCTTTTGTAGTCAAATTGATTATGATATCTTCTCAAAAACTCGGTGTTTTGCAGAAGCTAGATGCATGGTTCACTGACCGTCTCTATCCTCATTCATTTTGACAGGTTCCATCGAAGTTAGCTGGACTACTTCAGAAGATGTCTCCGTTGGACTTCCACTCATTTTCTGATTGAAAACATTTTTTCAGGGTGTGAACAGCAGAAAAAATCATATACCTTCGTTTATCCTCGTCAAGGTATATGCCATAACAATTAAATTAGGTGAAGAAAATGGAATATAGACATTTATGCAAACATAACTACGAAGTAACAATATCACAACAATGTGACAATAACAACAACATCAACAACAACGTAACCTGGGTTGATACTAAACTGGTAGGATACTCAAGGTGTCCACTACACAAGTAAAAGGAACTATACGAAAAAAAAACTGATGCGAGTGTAGCTTGCATTGCAGGTGCTTGACAGATGCGGACAAGATTTTTGCGAGAAAATAACAATGGTCTCAGAAATAAGAAATCTTCAACATGCGAACAAGAAACGCAACACAAACTAGTAAAAACTAAGAAATAAATAGCAATATGGCATCATGAGGGAAAGAAGCTTGATTTGTGCTGCACATGTGCTAAGCAAGAGTCGTATAAGAAGTTGTGAACTGGCTTACTCTCCTTTTGCAGCAACGTACTTTTCCCAACTCTTCGCAGCACTTTCCTGCTTTTCGGTGCTACCATTTGCTTGTTCAGAGTCATTAGTGTTGCTGCTATTGTCTTCTTTCTTATTCAAGTAAGAAGAAGGCAAACGAACAGGTCCCTCAAATGGTTCAAACGGATCGAAGCCATCATCAAGACTTCTAAACATAAGACCGGCTAAACATTTAACATGTCCAAAAACCAACGTAGAAACACACCCGTAACTGCGCGGTGGGCCACGATCCCCACCTCTTCCACCTCGTCCTCTTTTGTTATGGTAACCGTCGTCACCTTCTCGATCCCAAGATCTCTTTCCATGGTGATCACCGCGTCCCTGTCGAGAGTGGCTATTATGAACAATAAACCTTTTGAAGAACAACAGCTTACCCAGGGTCGTCCTCTATGTCCTCGATTTCCATAATCATTCTGCTCATGAAATCCTCCTCGATGACCACGGGGGGCTCCCCTGCCGCGAAATCCGCCACGATTTCCGCGGTATCCACCACGAGGGCCATCGAAGCCGTTACACTAAACACAAATTTTTATCTATAACATAATATATAGAAGAATACACAGATGTAAATCTTACCCGGTCCGCTGCCTGAGCCATTGCTCTTGACTGTCGTTGTTTCTCTCTAATCTCTTCAGCTTCTGCTTCCGATATGAGCTATAACGTGGTACGTGCATGCAAGTAAAAAGGAAATGCAATCAATGGATGTAAACTCACATTATAAGATGTTACGAATTCCGTGTCTAAGGTAATGATAATTTTCGGGTGATCGATGATAACTCTGTTCCTAGTATTGTGCAGCAGATCCTTTTGGATGTCTATGAGATAATATCTGAATCAGGTCTAAAGATACACATCTAGGCGAATAAAACAAAATGAATACCTCTCTGGCTCAAAGTTCGGCACCCGCATGAATGCATTAACGCTTTCGATACCAGCTTCTATGAATGGCGAAAGCTTTTCTAGGTCAAGATCTGACCTCGATACGATGCAGCCATGTATGCGAGGCTTCAAAAATTGACGCAGTATCTGTAGCATGTATAGTAAGAAAAAAATAAATTGAGATAAGGTCAATGTGGGCACTGACCGTAACAAGTCTGATAGTTTCCGGGATGTTCTGGACACGATATGTATACGTAGAAATCGTGCCATCCTCCAACTGCTTTGTAAAGTTGAGGTCAACACACCAAAATATAGTGTCGGAAAATTGCTCATGTCTTGAACTGTCTTCGCCACCTGAAGGACATCCTAACAAGTGGTGATATTAACTAGACAGTGTAAAATTGAAAACCTTTGTCGTCGCTGTACGAGAGCCAAATTCGGCGCCGTAAAGCGTTCTGGATGAGATAACGCTCTTTTACGGAATTAGCCTGAACAAAAAATCTATGGAAACGAGCTTGTTTCAAGATATACGAGATTCTGCAAAAAAAAGAACAAAAAAAACTGAGCAAAACTCAGACTGGCATGACAAAGTTGGTGAGGTGATGGAATGAACTAACTTTGAAGCGAGAACCGTCTGCGTTCTCTTCGTTGTCGTCTCTCCTTTCACACATTGTTTCCATATCGTGGTGTACTGATTCAAGCATCCGCACCCCTTCAGATATCTGAAACAACATACTGCCCAACAGCAAAGGAAACCTCCACAAACTCGCAAAACTCAAGCCCCATAAATTTGCTATCCACACTAAATGATTACCATGTCAGAGTGGTGACCATTTGACGTCGACGGCAGCGAAGCATTTACGGGAGATTTCTTAATGTTGCTCTGCACAGCGCTCAAAAATCGCTGGTCCTGGATCGATTTGTTGGCATCGAACTGCGACAGCTTGGAAACGGGCTCAAATGGTGGACGGACACCATCGCACTAGAACTCAAAATTTCTGGATAGCGGATAATTGTGCACGCCCAATGTATAGGAAGCACAACAAAAAAGAAGATTTGCATAAGAAAATAGCTACTACTCGGGCGTGTGGTAAGGAAAAGGTGAAGGGAGCAATTTTCAGCTCTACGATGATTTTAGTAAAATTAAAGTGAATTACTGCGTGTTTATACGGTGTGCCAACGGAATGATCGATGTGCACATACTATACAAATCATGAGCTGACAATGATGGGTCAGCACTTAGTAAACAAGTGATTACTTGTGCCGTTACATACGGTAAATTTCAACAACAGTTATTGCAAACGAAAGGCCCCGGCCAGACTTCACTCAGAAGCGTCCAAACGCCCAAATTTCCCTGTCTCTTGACTTTCTCATGTGAAAAGAGAAGAGAAAAAGTGAAGAGAGCTTAGAAAAATTTGGACGCACTTGAACGCTCTTGAGCGCTTTTGAACGAAGTCGGCCGGGCCAAAGTGACATCTCTAATAGCAAGGTAGGTATGCCTTAGGATAAGAACTACTTTCAATTATTTTTCGATAGTCGTTAGTGTAAAGAAGTTCTGACATATCCTGCAAGATTGGCTTACAACAATTTTGACTCACGTCTCTTTCCTCTTTATGCTTCTTGGAGCAATCCACTGAACAAGTTCGTAGATCACATTTGGGACACCTGAATCTCACGATAACGATCCAAAAGGATATAAAGATCTATGCTTACCTATACTTATGAGGAACTTTTTGACACATGGCGCAGAGCTTGGGATCAATCACTTGCGCTGTGAGAGCTTGCTCCTCCTCAGCTTTCTAGAATAATGAAGTGCAATCACGCAAAGTCCCAAAAGTTAGCTACCTTTTTTGCTACTCTGTTGAGGATTTCCTCGGGAGGTTCGTCATCACTCGAGTTGCTTAGTTCATCGTTTGTCTCTCCAAGAGTTGCTTGATCTAGAAAAGCATAAATCTGAGTGAGTTAGCAGAAGGAAGTCAAGCGCTTCAAATGTGCAAAAAAAGGACAAACTTGTGACAAGCGGGATGAACGACGTATCCTCGGCTTCGACAATCTCGCCATCCTCCATAGCATTCGATTCGTCTAAAAACAATCGATTACAATGTTCTTAAAAGCATGGTAAAGAAGGGAAACAAAGTTTGTACAAAGAGAACTTACCATCACCTCGCAACTGGCACCCACCTCCATCGGGATGGAAACTAACATCAGTGCTCATGACCCTACAACAGCTGTTGATCTTCGGATCCGCATGCATTAACAATGCAGGAAAGAGGAAAGCAGCTCAAAAAAGCTTCATATCCCGAAGCTCCAGGTCTGCAGATTTCAAGTCTGACTATGTGAATGTGTTTCTACCACGCTTTACCATGGACATAAAAAACAGGAGCGAGAAGTTGTAAAGCCGCATTTCTCACCTTTTTGTATGTACAGTCCAGTAGATTTAGCGGTAAATATAGTGTGCTTGCACAGAAGGTGAAATGCGGTGAAATTTGCGCGTGAACAAGTAGCCAGGCCACTACTGCAGGTATTTTGCGCGCGCAGTTGGCCGGCGTCACAGTCGAAGCTATTTCTTCACGCGCCAATTTTACCGCATTTCACCTTCTGTGCAAGCACACTATATTTACCGCTGAATCTACTCGACTGTACCCGTTGTGCGGCGGATTACCGTCTTTCTCTCAGAGTCTCATATTTCTTCTAACTCAATGGCAACATCTCAAAGTCGTGCTGGTTTTTTAACTCAACAGTGTTGGTCATGTTTCTGATATGAACAAATGGATGTGTCAAAATCACGAAAATGTCAATGAATCAAAAGTCGAAAACTGGGGTTCATCGAGAACAGTGGCCTAGTAACACACCTCTTTTTATCAGAAATGCCAGTTAAATTAGATGATCAGTAATACACCTTTGGGATGTTAGGACCGTCGACCGCCGGTGATCACCACGGAATCATACAAAAACTGGAGAATGCGGTTTGCACAGCTTTTCGCTGTTGCTCAATATATATCTACTAGCATGTTATATGAGTAGCAGAAACACCTGCGGATAGTGAGACGGCGCGAAAACCCGGAACACTGGAGCTTCCAAGTTAAGCTTTCATGAGCTCCATCCCCCTCCCCAGTGGGTATGTTGATTCATGTGGCCCTTAATGGGATACCAAACATGCTGAACTTCAAAAGACAGCCAGCAAAAAAAAATCAAATGAGCAATTGCTCATCGTCGACGCGACAGCCGTTGACGTGGATTCAGTGCATGTCCGCAGTTGCACGATCGTGTTTGCAGCTTGAATTTCGTTTTTTTTTCCAAGGAACGAAATTAAGTTCATACTGATGCGGAAGACTGGGAGCAGTTTCAGCAAAGCGCTAACTGAGTGCTGTGCTGGAACTGTTCCCGAACTTCCCCATCAGTGTCAACGCAGCCTAATGCTTTGAGGCATGAGCATTAGGAGTGGTTTATTTTACTGGAACTTCTCTCAATCTTGTTCCATGCTGAAATTTCTTCTAATCGCGGAGCAAATCAACTTTATTTTTCAGTTGCTTTCTTCTTGACCAAGAACACAGTTTTCCAGTCTTGATAATCTTCTCGCTGGAGGGCTAGTATTTGTAGAGATGGTGAGCTTTCCATTCAAATCAAGTATTATGAGATACTAAAATGTACTTTAGGCAAGAAATGCGGAAAAAGCAATGACGGCACTGGCGCGGTGGCGTCGGTTGAAGGAGGAAGAGGAGAAGGTTGGCGTTTGCAAATTCATTTTTCGTTTTGGCACATCTGTTTTTATGCCCGTATTTTTCCTGTTGTGCAACCTCCACGTTAAAAACCCGAAGTCTCCCAATAGGAATGTCTACTTCTTTTTAACACATTCACGACAAGGCCGATTTTTCGATTACTGCCGTTTCGGACCAGAGCCTTTTTCGCTTTGTCAAAATTACGACGCCCGTGGGTCATATTGTCCGAATTGGTAGTTTTTCGAAGAAGTTCAAAACATGCCCCCAAGAATTTCCCCACAAGGGTTATCGAAGGCGCTGGCTACGAAAATATGATTTATTTCAGTTTTTGGAAGTATACGATAAGGTTACGGTAACCATTCTGTGCGGAGCCAACATCATGGATTTTCATGAAAAATTGTGTTGTGGGGTTATTTTACGTGCTGATCACGATTATAGTATCCACTTTGTTCACTACTTTCCCTCGGTGGGACTACCGTAACAGCACGGTAGAATTTTTGTAAGGCGGTATTAGAACTTGAGACTATCATTTTCGTAATCAGCATGCTAAAAAAGCTATATATGTAAGGTTTGGGCTTCCTGGGATGAACAATGCGAAAATCAATAAAGTCAATAAAATCGATACTTTTTGATGGGCTGACATCAGTCTCGTGCCCTCCCTGTATTCTCGATGTAAATTGAATTTTCAATAACAGCCAGGGTCCAATAGCGAAAAGACCGCATGACACTATCTGCGGTATACCTACCGTAACATTACTTAAACAACATCCCGAACCCGCACTACTCTGGCTGGAGCTTCGCCAAGGTGTACCCATTCATGCGCCAGAACCCCGTAGAATTTCAACGTATACTGGGAGAACTAGAGCTTCAGGAATCTTACGACCCACCGGTGTATCGTATTGTCGAAAACGGCAGAGCACGTACGACCCACCGGTGGGCCGTATTGTCGTGAATGTGTTAATTAACAGGCGGATTTTATCCGATGTCTAGTTCTTCTTCCTTGTTCTAGTGTACCTCCACTACAGGGTGTCCAAAAAACAAAGGCCTCCAAAAGCTGAGACTACTTCATCAAAGTTAGAAAGTCAAACGCTGCTCTCAGTTTGAAGTTTTCGCTGTGTTTTCTGATAAATGATGTTCTTCTTGAAGACGGCACTGAATTGCACAATCAGTCTCAGTCCTTACCTTAAAAATACATGTCACTTTGATGCCTAATATCATGCAAACACGGATTTCTCACCATTCATTCAACATTTTCATCAGCCACCAAACTGCATCGTACACAGTCTACGTAAAATTTATTTTGCTTTGATTATCAGTGCTAAAATGTCACCTTTCAGCTCTATCAAAATAGATTCGAATATCTGTCTTCATAGAAAATACCGCCATAAGCATTTTATTACTAGCTTCTAAAAGTTCTGTTTTTGTTTTCAAAAACATTTATATCTTTTACAGGGTCCAATAGCGAAAAGACCGCACGACACAAACCTTTGTCACAATCTCGGAGATGCTGAACGATTTCGTCGGGAGGTTTGTTTCTTTGTAACCTGTGTGCTTTTCCAATTTTCCTAAAAACGTTTTTAGATTGCGAAGGAGATTGCGAAGAAGATTGCTCTCATCCAAAATCCTGGTCTTGGCGAATTCAAAATCCGCGATCTTAACGATGAGATTAATAAGATGATCCGAATAAAATATGCCTGGGAGATGAGGATAAAAGAGCTGGGCGGAATGGATTACAGGTAGGCGCTATCTGTACCGGTGTTCATGTATGCATTCAACTTGCTTTATTTCTAGAAAAATATCTTCTCGCGAATTGGACAAAGAGGGGCGAGAAGTTGCTTCTAATAAAGGTTACAAATACTTCGGAGCTGCTAAAGATCTACCTGGAGTGCGGCAGTTATTCGAGGAGTCTAAGGAATTAGAGGTTAGACGCACGCTGTTTTTTTCTTTAGTATTTTTATAACAATAAAAATGGTTTTTCTCATTAACAACAGCAATATATTTGCATTCAAAAGTACTAGACCATAATCTGTCGTTAACATCAGATATTTTCTCTTTTCTGAGAGCAGAGTTTCAGCAAATGCGGAAAACAAGAGCTGAGCTTATGAAGAATGTTGATGCTGATTATTACGGTTACCTCGATGATGACGACGGCTTGCTCATCCCTCTCGAGAAAGAAGAAGAGAAAAAAGCGATTGAACAAGCTGAGAAGGTAGTTGTTGGTTTTATTGAGTCACTTCTTGGAGTTACCTGCTTCCATCATTTTTAAAATATCTAGTATTTCGCTGAACATGGGGCTGAGCGATTCCAAAAGGAATTTGGGGAAGATGACATTGAAGAGGACATTTACAAGATCCAAGATGTAAGTAATTTCGGATGATTTCGAAGATCATTTTCCATGATGTCATTCTCATTGTCAATAATTCTTCTTTTTATCACTGTCGTATAATACATTCTTCTTCCGCTGTATCTGTCCTTTTTTGTTTTCCATATGGCTTAAAACAGTGGCGGTGACCTCTAGCAATATGGCTGTAACCTGTGTCGTTCCTTTCTAGGACTCAGATGGTGAAGATATTGATACCAAGGAGTCCATTGTGGTGGGAGAGGATGGTAAACAAATGACCATAAAACATGTGCTGGTAAGAAATTAACTTTGAACTCTGTACATCATTGGACCAGGGTCCTGATTCTAGTCTCTCAGTTATGAAATAGCAATTTGGAAAACCAGATAGGAAATATCATAATACAGTTGCGAATGGAATTCTCTATCACTTCCTTGTTGTTAATCTTCTGCAGAATGCATAGTACATAGTACATTGCTCTTGCACTACGCTATTTCTCTATTCAAATTTTCATGTTTCAGGTACCAAGTCAAAAGGATATAGAAGAAATGATTATTGAACGGAAGAAACAGGAGCTCATAGATAAATACCTCAATTCTGAGTGATTTTTCTTTTGTAGATTTGTTGTTGCATTCTTCTTCTCCTTGTTACCGTTTGTTTCTTGATACTGCTAACGTGATCTGGACGGGATGTTTATCTGTTCGAGTTTTCTAACCAAGAAACTCGGCACTTGCTCGAATTTTCTTCTACCTGATATCACCTAGATATAAGTTTTGCATGGCCCATTAACTGTCATGTGAAAGTGGATTCCACCAAATATCTTGATATGTATAGAGAACTTGGACACACATATAGTAAATTGCATCATGCAACTCAACGCAAAGTTTCTGTTGTTGTTGCGCTTCTCTAGCTGCAGACTTGGTCGGTTCTAGAGGAAGCGTTCAGGCAAATTTGGGCACGTGGAAACTAGTTCTGGGAGTCTAATAAAGATACTGTGCAAGCGGCAACAGAGATGTTGACTCGCAGTTGAGATATTCTTCCTTACACTAGACCCCACTACCGTACATGGTAGACAACTTGCATGGAGTTGCATGCTATTGTGCGGATACCTACCGCCCTCTTGATGGGTCCCAGCGCAAAATCTTGAAACCCAATGCAAGTCATCCGCTACATACGGTACGGGGACAGGTGTCAGCTGGGTAGAGGAACGAACGCCTCAATTCGGCACCATCGCCGCGGACTGCTGGTCCTTCCATCCTACTGTTGTGCATCGTGTTAGGACCAGTGGTCCGCGGAGGCGGTGTCTAATTGAGGCGTTCGTTCCTCCACCCGTGTCAGCTCAGACAGTCGAAGGGATACCTCCGGCGGGCATATGGCGCGAGTCCGCCACTTCGCGCTCCGGAGCCCTGCCATTTCGCGCATTTTTTGTGCTCCGGGGCTCTCCCAAAAGTGGACGAGAGCTGTAGCAGACTACATACCACGGGCGTCAAACGCGAACGAGGAAGACCACCACCGACGCGCTGGTCAGATGTATCCGCAGTCCTCTAATGCAGTTTTTCAAAATGTTCCACCTGTTTCTGGTGAGATACGCAAACAGTGGATAACAATCGTCCGCCACATTGACAGAGGCATCGTTGATACTCGCTCTGCAACACGACGAACAACGGCAGAAGGGAATAAAATGGTTCTTTATTTCAGAATGTGAATTAATTTCAATTTAGCATTGCACAAAGACTTTCATTACGTCTCCTTTTTGTGTCCGCTCCAAAGCTTCTACGACTTCCTCCAGTTTGTAATGCGCACTTGTAAATCTTGAGATATCCACTTTTTTTGAAGCAAGAAGGTTCAGTGCGGTCGGATAACTGGACAGAATCTCATCGTTAGGAGGATAACCATGAACACGTTCAAGAATGTTTTTAGGTGATCACGGACTCGTTTGCAAATCTGAATGAACCTCTGATGTCCACTTCCCTCAAACAACAGTCGATCATTGGCAGTTCAACTCTTGGATTACCAAGACCAACCATGATAATTCGTCCTCCAGAGCGTGTAGCCCAAAATAAAAACCCAGCTAAAATATTCTCGGACAATTTATTTTGAGTTGTTACCAAAATCGACGACTCTAAACAGGATCGCGCTCCTGTACATTCGATGGTCACATCAGGCTCACATTTCAAGCACTTGGTCACCAACTGCTTAACTTCCTCCACCGACTTGTTTCTGGAAACCAAACTCAACCAAAACCTCTTAAACTCGGAATTATCTCTTACTTGGCGCAAACAGAGTGGTCAGCTCCGAGAGTCTTCGCAATATCTAATTTACGTTCCTCCAAATCTGTAATTACAATCTGACCAACACCCATTGCTTTTGCCGTCATCATGCATAGCGTTCCTATTGATCCTGGAAGACTCGATAAATGAACATCAGTGATTCTGGAATATATTATTGATTCCTACACAAGCCCTATGCCTCTAACCTGCCCCCTGCACCAAGACGTTTTCTCCGATGCGTAATTCCGCTCGTTGGCAGGCATGAACTGCTACGGCTAATGGCTCAAGAAGCGCAGCTTCATCAAAGGTAACATTTTCGGGTAGCCTAAAAGTTTTCTATAAACAATACGTAAAATGTTTAGAGGAAAGAGAATGAAGTCGTTATTTGCTTGTTTGAAAACTTCTAGTGCAGACACAATGCTGAAGAAGTATACTTTTTATGCATCAATAGAGACCAAGATGATGTGTTTGAATCACGACTTATTGCCATCTTCTTTAGTCAAGAGCTGAATTTAGTATTAGACTAGGTGTTATACCCGCCTTCAATCATCCGTGTCAACTGACATGATAGAACTCACCATGCCGCTCTAATTCTACACAATATCTTCCTGTACCTGTCTTACTCATGAATTCGAGTGTCTAGAGCCTTAGCACCGTTTTTAATGTTATTGAAAACAAGACTTTTGAAGGAAAAAAAAGGAAAAGGAAAAAGCGAGCACATTGACATCGAACATTCGATTCTTTCGAGTAACCATATCGTTCACTTGATGAAAATGAAGTTTACTGCACCACTTATACAAAACTAGCTGGCAAACCCGGCTCCGCCCGGCCCTGTCATTATTATATTCGTAATCAGCATGCTCGATTACCCCCCTGTGCCAACTCCCAGCCCCGTAGCTCAAATTTTGCAAAAAATCGATAAAATTGATATCGATCGATAACGAAAAGTAGCCTATGACACGCTCCCTGCCCCGAAGTATATGTGTGCCAAGTTTGGTCCAAATCGGTTCAGAAATAAAAATTTCTATTCCGCACATACGTACAGACATACAGATAGACAGACATACAGACATTCAGCTTTATATATAAGATGTGCAAACGGCTTGATAGCGGCTGATAAGTGCTCATTTTTATTGTGAGGTGCTCAAAATCAATAAATCGATGGAGGAGCCCAGCGAATTTTAGTGAAAAGTAAACCGTCTCACGGGTCAAAGACATCGTGTGCGATTTTTCAGCCCAATCGGTTAGGCGGCGCATGTTTTTATAACGCACATACCCTTTAAACAGATAATTTTTGAGTTTTGTATATACAGGGTGTCCCAAAAAATGTGCCTACTGTTTGATCATCAATAACTCTCTTGTTCTCAGGCATTTTGAAATTTTGAAAAGCTTTAGGTACCACTGTAGAGCTGGTTCCAACTTAGATTTACAGTAAGGAGCGAATTACCAACTGCTCTTCATTACTGTAGACTTACGATACGAAGTTTTGGCGTATGGAGTCGCTGTGAAAAAGCAGCCGTTTTAAATATTTTCGAATAAGCTAGAACCGGCCCGTATTAAGCTCCACTTCACTTCAGATGATCTCTACTGAAGGTCTCACTTAAGGTTTCTGAGATAAACTGACCAGCGGCCACTCTCACATACTTAAAGGCAGTGTCCGGGCAAAAACTCGATTTTGAGATTTTGTGCTTATACGGGCCTATTCGCCATGCTGATTCCGAAAATCCACATTGGAAAGCGCGAAAAGGGCGGAAAAGGGCTCTAACACAGGGAGGAAATCGAAAGTGGGCGGGGCTTTCCCCACTGCGATTTCAAGCTCCCAGCTCCCGGAGCGATTTTCTCGATTCCGCTAGCCGTCCTAACATCGCTGCCAGTCAAGTGCGAATGATTGACTTGAAACCGGAAGCGAGAAGGTCGCTCCGGAAGCCGGGAAGTGAATTCGCAGTGGGGAGGACCCCGCCCCCCTGCTCATTTCCCCCCTGTGTTAGAGCCGTTTTTCGCCATTTTCGCTCTCTACAATGTGCATTTTTGGATTCAGCGTAGCGAATAGGCTCAAGTAAGCACAAAATCTCAAAATCGAGTTTTTGCCCGGACACTGCCTTTAAGAATGCGACCTGATCTGACGGATGGGCGTTAGGGGTGCCGCGATGAATTCACCTGATTTCCTCAAGAGCATCGTCGATTGGTCGAAATAATGTGCAAAGGATGAGACGCAGAGAAAAATCCTGTAAGTGCTCATGAGTAACTTACAAGATACGTAATGTGACATACTATTGAGGGCTAGAGTGCGCGAAACTGCACATTTTCAAGGGCTTACGGATTGAAAGAGTCGATGAACAGCTGGTTGCAGCCAAGAATGGAAGAACTAGTTTTTTTCCTTTTTTGCATAGTTTGCCTTATTTTCGTAACTGCTTAAAGTAAAATTTCTCCGTTTATCTCATTGTCTTTTTGTTCGGAAAATGTGGTTTTTCATGGGAATCCGAGCTAAAATATCGTGAATTTGTTATGTTTACGTATTTGCTAGGTGAACTTTTTGATTGCGGTCATCGATTTTTTGTTACCGGCCGGTATCAATGATTACGTGCAGATGCCGCAAAAACTAATCCCGCTAGCCGATCCCGAATTACGGTCGCTGGCGTTGCATCTCAATCAGTTATCCATTTGACCATGCCCGAACAAAGAGTGTTGCTGTTTCTTCTTTGAGAACGCGCATCCTTGTCGTTTTTCTATAAAAAAAATCAACATTGAGATCAATAGCTCGCGGGATGCTGGACTGAGGCGTCCCACGATCAACTTAGGTTCGCCTCAAGGGAGATGCATGACGGGGAGTTTACTACGGGCCACCTTGTGGGGTAGGTAGGGTTTTCATGGACATGAATTTGATACACAACTTTGTACAAGATTTTGAAGCTTTCTAAATGGTGTAATCACATTTTTTAAGTATTAACAGAATAACGGCTGCCACTGCTTACCATAACTTTCTAAGGAAGCACTATGATGAGATGAAAGTACATACTTAGCAGCAACTTTAATTAGCTTAGTATGAAAGTTCTTGGTAGCTTTGTTTCTTTTCTGAAACCAGATGTATGGTCCTACACGGCTCAAAAGGGTGGGGGAACGAAAGCCGCCAGGTCCAGCCGGCTCCGCGGACTGCTGGTCTGGAACGACATGCAACAACGCTGCGAAAGGACCAGCTGGCCGCGAAAGGCGGCTAGACCTGGCGGCTTTCGTTCCCCCACCCGGCTCAAAACCCTCGTCAAAGTTTTAGCTCAATCTTACAGTAAGAAAGAGGGATCGATGATAAGCTTTATACCGAAAATCTAAGTTAAAGCCAGCTCTACAAAATATTATACAAAGCTTCTCGAAAGACTTCATGACGAGAGAGTTAGTAACAATTATACAGCAGACACATTTTTTGGGATACCTTGTATTAAGATTATTATTGAGTTGAAAAAAATGTCGTATTTGTTTGTCATATCATCGCAACGATTCAATTTCAGTAAGGTGTGTGTGATACCATTCGATAGAGCAAAGCAAGCTTCTAGAAATTAGCCTTACTGCTTTTGCACCAAGTGACATCCTTGTGAACTTCGAAGATGGAATTTAAAAAGTTTAGATGACCGTAAAATCAAAAAATCGTATCTATAAAAGTTTCTATGGAATCGCAACTCACGGTTATACATCCTTCATCAAACCATCACGCGCAGTTGCTATAATTTTTTCTTTTCTAGGCAGTAAAAATTTGAAATTTTTGTGCTACTGCCAATTGATGCTGGACTGTTTCCGCGTAGGTAATTTTATACTATTATATTTGGCATAGGAAATACAACCGTAGACTTTCAGCCTTCTATAAAAGTTAGTTCTCGAGAAATATCGAATGTTTTGAAGAAAAGAAAGAAAAACAAAATTCGATATTTCTCGAGAACCAACTCTATAAACTCCTGAAAGTCTACGGTTGTATTTTTAATGCAAACAGTATACAATTATCTACGCAGGAACAATCCGGCATCACTTCGGCAGTAGCATGAAAGTTTCAAATTTTCATTGCCTAGAAAAGGGAATATTATAGCAATTGCGCGTATGACCGTTTGACGAGGGATGTATGCTTATTGGCAAGTGGGGGCTACATAGAAATTTTTTACGGAAATACATTTTTTGATTTAACGGTCATTTAAACTTTTTAGATTCTATTTTCGAACTTCACATGGATATAACTTGGTGCAAAAGCAGTAATGGCATTTTGTAGAGCTTGCTTTGCTCTATTGAATATCAACCCATACACGTCCCTGGTATTTGACTTGTTGCGATGAAAAGACATTCTTTTCCTTCCAACCTAATATTTCTCCTGAGTCATCATAGAAGTAACTGCATATGTAAATTATTTTTTCAAGTTGTTTAGCATTTTAATCAGTAATTGAGTTTGCTCTTCGTGAGGAAGAAAGGTGAGGGAGAACACAAATGTGCAAGTGATAGCTGAAGGCTTGCTATGTGCTGGTCGAAACATTAGGTGTCTCTTGCAGGACATCCAGTTTCTGACCGTGGTATGTAGGTCGAGACACTTTTTTCCTCTGGCATATGTGTCTTGATACAAACGCAAGAGTTCCAATTTTTTCCTGGTTACCGGTCGTAAATCGCGCAGGCATTCCGCTTATTTATTTTTGCTCTGTGGGAGTCAATGTCGAATGTCAGAGAAATTGACCTCTCGTAGCCAATTTTTTGCAATAAGAACAGGTCTAAATTGAAATCAACAAGAAGGGCATTTGCAGTACTAGGATCGAGTACATCGCATATTATAACAGAACGGTGAAAAGCAAAATGATCGAAACCGAAAAAAAAAACAAAGCCACTGTGTTCCGCCCATCTCTTATAGCTACTTGCGCGGTGCACGCGGTAGGTTCACGTTGAATATTCAAAAAAGCTTTGAATTTTTTTCACCTTTATTTTTCTGTCACCTTTCTGTACTATATTGTACCTGCAGAAGCATACACTCTTTGAGTAAAGAACCACGGAACTCAAAATTTCTTCAAAAAATCTAAAAGTACTCAATGGGCTTTCCAAGCAGGCAAGGTCCTATATTCATTACAACATTTCGGTCGAAGTGATATTGCTTGTACGACTTCTAGGGCTTGTTCGAATACCCACCAAAAGAAGTGTGATAGTCAAAACTGGCTATGTTCGTAAGCCTTGTCTTGGAGACAACAGATAAGGGCGAACTTTTACGAAAAGGCTTAGCGGCACTTAGGCCGCACCGCGCTTCCGCAGAATAACAAAGCTGGCCAACCACGCACTATTAGAACTTCAACTGCGAATTTTAACTCATTTTTTGCTCTGTGTTCGCTAAACCTAGAAAACACTGGGTCAACAAAGAAAAATTCTTGTCTCAAGATACCTTGGAAAATTTAGAAGCAAACAAATTTTTTAGCTTTCACGAAGAGACGAAAGAGTGAAGTTACATTACCTGAGTTGTTCCACTTTTTTTCATCGCGGGAAAACGGAAACAGCCTTCCGCCTTTTTACCACTAATAGTCCCTAGTTTACATTTTCTTTAAATAACAAAAGTTCCTCAGCAGCTTGCGAACAAAGATGGATGTTTTCATGTACTAAATTACAGCGCACAATCGCGGCACAGATTTGCGTTGAAATTTTCTCGCTTAAAAAATTTTGGAAGTCTTATTTCACATGTATATGTAGCGCAGCTCTTTGATCTTCATTGTATTAGGTTGGTGCAAAAGTTTTGTCAGTTTTTTCAATCCATCGGCAAACACCCTAGAAGATAAACAAATGCTTCAAAATGTATCCAATGCAGAATTTCTTCCTCCTTCCAGCTGCTAAACCCTCATTGCGTTTCGTTGCGAGGTTGACGAATGGAAATTACAACCACTCGTTTTAGCATGTCCAATTTTCACTAATTATCAAAATTTTTGTATGAGACTTTCGGAAGAGTCCTAGTAACCAGCGGATGGTGCAAAGCTTTTGCCAACAGAAGCAATCTTTTGTAGCCCTACGGCTTGTCTTTCAGAATTTCTACGATTTATTTTTTGAAGTGACCAAATTTCACATTCATCTAATTTTAACCTCTAGAACATAAAACGTTAAACATTTCGAAATTTGTGGAAAAAATCGCAGCATTTCCTCAATTTCAGGAGTGCGCAGTGACGTAACCTATGTTTCAAAATCTATATAACTTGAAGCGAAAACCGCTCATTTACTTTGTAATGGTAGCGGTAGTAACAATCGTGTGTTGGAACCTCAGTTTTCTGTAAGTTTTGCAGTGTTTGGTGCAATAACAGGTCATGCGATTTTTCGAACACAAGACTTTTAGATTAGTTAGCAAAAATCTGAAAAAGTAGCTGAAAAAAAGAAAAGAGTTGCATAAGTTGGCAAAAGACTTGCCCTATTTGCTGGTTACTAGGGCTCCTCTGAAAGTCTCATACAAAATTTTTGAGAATTAGTGAAAGTTGGACATGATAAAAACGAGTGGTTGTAATTTCCAGCAAATGTCTCGTCAAACCTGCAACGAAACGCAATGAGGGTTCAGCAGCTGGAAGGAGGAAGAAATTCTGCATTGGATACATTTTGAAGCATTTGTTCAGTGTTTGCCGATGGATTGAAAATTGACAAAACTTTTGCACGAACCTAACATTAATTTTCAAAAATTTTGCACCTTTGTGAATTTTCAAAGATAAAATATAAAAATTTTGGTGTTGGATTTGTTGACGAAAATATCCTGAAACTGGATCTCTTGTAATCCCAGGCACAAATTTTGAAACGAACTTGCTTTTACGAAAATAAAAGCACATGTAAGGATTTTTTAAAGGTTTTTAGTAGGTATACCAAGTTTTCTGTAAATTATGTTTCCTTCTTTGTAAGAAGCGTTTCATGAGGCTATATTGATGTGAAAAAGTGTAATAAAGAAAAAACCACCAGAAGACCTGCTTTAACTGAAATAAGGATACCTGGCAGGGTGAGCACAACAGAACAAAAAACGCGTCAAAATTCGTGTTGGAAGTACTTTAAGCCACTTACTTTCCAAACACCCTGTACATCCCAAATGTGTTGAGTTTATTGACTAAAATATACAACTGCGAAGCCGTATGTATGTTGTCGGTTTATATTCAACAGAATAAGCATATTCGATCTCAATCGAGCACATCCGTCAATACACCAGCACTTGGAATTGAGAGGTACAAAAAGCCGGAAGTGTTCAAAATCAAAACGATTGTAAGTTCAGAGAATTCAACAAGCAAAAATAAATTCATACTGGGAAAAATGTGTGTCTTACTTGAAACATAAATCAGCGTTGTGAACCATATATCTGCTCAATGATCCATGTATGCTAGGTGCACCAAGAAACCTCATATCATGACACAGATTATACCGACCGCTCTGGAAAATGTTTGCATTTTTTGGTGCGCCGTGCAAATTCATTCAAGTAGTATTAAAACTTCAACATTAGAATTTGAGAGATTTTTTTTGCAGATCCTGCTTAGCAAGAGAAGTTTCATGTTGATCGAAACACACTTGCCAGATACTTGTCATTGCACTACCACTTGCGATTTAAACTAAACACCTTCACACTTAATTAGTACTACTTTTGTTTAATCAAGCGAATGAATGGTGGCAGAGAATTACAAAATTACTAACGGAAAGTACGAATGTAAAAATTTGCGTAACAACTTGCGGCATGCATCAGCGAAGTCTGCAACCGCAATACAAAAGCACCACATATAAACTTAGTGAAGCGCAAGGCAACAAAAACGATATTCTTCTACTTTTACATGACTGCTTACACTACAAGTTCAAAGGCAAATGTTTTTGATCACTGTTTACTTATTTGCTTGCCGGAGTCTGAAAGCAACCAAAAGGTTGAAATAAAGCATTGTTATTAGGACTAATGACAATATAAAAATAAGATGCTCTTTGATGGATTATTCCAAGATTTTTCTTTTGCGAGGCTTGCAGAATCCATTGCCTCAACGCGACGTAAAGGTAGCACGGGCTGTCAAATTGTTATGTACAGTCAAGTAAGTGTATGTGCCAGGATGCTAACAACCTCCTTCACAGCTAGAGACACCTTAAGGGGTCCCATGCTGTGAAAGGAGCTTGCTGGCTTTTCCGGTTTGAAGAAGATTGTTGGCCTTCACCGGCTCAGCTAAGAGCAGAGCGGGCCAGATCTCCCGCCTCTAGATGCCAGTGAAAATCGAGGACGGCCGCGATTTTCACTAGCATCCTATCTCATGCATTTCACTAGCATTCCTATCTTGGAGTCGGCAATTGCCTGCAAAAAGACAAGAGCACAGAATGAGTCTGATCTAGGGCAGAAATCTATCTACTCGTTCAGCAAGACCTGTAGAAATCCTACACTCGGGTCTCATCCAGGGGAGGGGGGGACGCGGGAAGCGACAAATTCGAGCGCAACTAATGGCCACGGCCTATCTGAGTTTCTTGTAGTAAAATTTTTCTAGTTGTTTTAACTGAGGCGCCTTTGCGCGCTCTGCCACATGTCTCTAAATCTAACTCTGACCGCAAAGCGGCGCGAATCGTTGCAAAGCGGACTCTCGCCGGTCCAATTTCCGCCTAAACTGAGTTGAAAGTTACTATATCTACTTCCCAAATGTATGAAAAGGTTCTGTGAAAGAAGTTACGACCCCTGGATCAACATTGCACTGTGTACAGACAAACACGAGTAGTTCCGCGTCGTGACTAAAGCGAAAATGTGTTTCGAAGAACAAGTAACGAAGGCTACTGATAATCTCTATTCGAAATGGTTTTCAGATCCGCGTAAACGATGGGCGCCAAGGCAATTTGAGCTCGGTACCTCAGGCCTTAGGCACACTTCACGCAAGTAGCCACGATTACTCATTTAAATAATCTACGAAAGTTGTACATGTATGCAATTGTGGTTTGCAAGTGTTGCATCTGGAGACATCTGGCAAATCGCCAGATTGAGTATCCACGAGGCCTCATAAAGCCAACTGCTTTCAAATACACCCTCAGCGTTTCTAACGATGATGCATAATTGCTCGTATTCGATTGACTGTGGACAGGGCAGAACCTAAATCCAGGGGTCCGTAACTTCATTCGCATTCATTCTAATCTATCTCGCTGAGCCAGCGGCGATGCGGACGCGCTGCTTCACTTGGAATGTTTCGCTCACTCCGGTTCGAAAAGGACTGTATATTATCACTGTCCCGAAGGGACCTCAATGGTGCACATTATACTTGGGTCCGAATCGAATAGAAATTCGATCATTCGAAAAAACATTCGAATATATTCGTATTCAAAATTCGATATTCGGAGTTCTTCCATTTTCGAATAATATTCGAAACTCGAATAATTGAGAAAACGGGGTTTCGAATAAAATTCGAAACTTGAATAATCAAAAAGCAGGGTTTCTAAAACTCTAAAACTCGAATAATCAAAAAACGAGGATTCGAATATTATTCGAAAACTCGAATAATCAAAAAACGGTGTTTCCAATAGATTTTATCCGAATGTTTTACTCGAATGTTTATTCGAATTTGTATTCGAATGAACTCCGTACTCACTTCGTCCGCGTTTTTCTTGCAAAACTCGGTAATCATCTTTTGCAACCGTTATGATCTCTGAACTGTATGGATATCCGCATTCTTCCGACTGCTTGCGACAGTAAAAAATTATATGTGGATTTTAATTGATGCTTTTTCGATCAATGAGATTGTTCGCACTGCTATTGGCACCAAATCAGCAAAGAAGCCATCAAATTCAAGCTCATGTTCCGAGTTCATATATTGAAAGTGTTTTGAAATGCCTGTTTTTCTTTCTTTGCATTGCTCATGCTTGTGGTACGCAAAGTCCACACTAGTGAGCAGTCTTGCTCGCATAAGTTATATTGCACAACTGTCTCTATTCGCTACCTTGGAGGTTTTTTGCGAATTGGTGTATTTTAAGTAAACGAGTCGCAGTTGTAGTGGAGGGTTAGACGGTTCTGATCGCCGTACGCGATTTGCCAGTTACGAGATGTCTTCAAATATAACGCCAGCTTACCACAAATGTTTAGCGTGTACCACTTACTAAAAAGATAAATGCCCTGCATTCTGTACTTCTAGGATAAGTGTTGATCAAATTCATATCGGCTGCTTTTTTAGATCGTCTAATAATGGGTAAAATACGACTTCTTGCTGATGTATAGACTAGTTGCCCACCGACCAACTTCATCGATTTTCGGAGAAGTTTGAGCTGCGGGGCTGGGAGTTGGTACAGGGGGGGGGGGTAAGTGAGGGCGCTGATTATGTGTAAAGATTTACTTGATCGATTTTGTCGATTTTTGGAAAATCGAGCCACGAGTTGAGGAGTTGGTACGTAAGTGAGGATGCTGATTGAAACCGAAGTCTATATTTTATCAATTTCAGCGATTTTTGGAAAATTTTGAGCTAGGAGTTGGTATAGGGATACAAGGGTGCTGATTATGAATGGATCGGCTTTAGCCAGATATGTCGGCAAGTCTGAGATATGGTTGCTCTAATTATTCGATGAATCATTCGAATATTTATTCGAAATTCGACTTCCAATGTTCGAATATATTCGATATTCATTCATTCGATATTTTTGATTTTCCGAATTTATTCGGAATCCATATTATCACTGTGTCGAACAAGAATTTACTCGCAGGGATAGCCGAGCTTATTTGTTGGAGGCGACTCCAAACTCGCCTCCCCACACACCTACCCGGGAAATTAGGGCGCAAGCTTTTAGTGGAGGCAGGGAGTCCGTCCCCCGGCTCCGCTTGCTTATCAGAGCAGGCGCGGGGTCGCTTTTGGTCGGCGATTATCCCCCTATCCGCCACCTGGGGACGCCCCACGTAGCCTCGCGACTAACCGGCTGTGATCCCTCTATGAGGGAGATCCGTGGCACTGACCGAGACAAGGAGGCACCACCCGCTGAACGCCACATTTGAGACTGGAGAAGAACTGTTTCTAGGAACATGCGACAGTCGAGGAGTAGGTGGAGTGGGAGTCCTTGTCAACAGAGTTTGGCCATGAACATCGATTCGTTCGAACAACTTACAACTCGGATCGGACGTTTGCGAATATCAAGATGTGGATCAATCCCTGCCTTGACCGTCTTCATTGCGTACGCCCCAACATCCAGCTACGACGAGGACGAACTCGAGGAATTTTATATGGACTTGGAGAAGTTCTACAGAGAAGATCATACCTTCTACAAGGTCATCGTCGGTGATTTCAACGCGAAGATCGGAACTAGAAGGTCGACTGAGGAACTTCACATCGGAACCCATGGTTTGCAGTGGAACGAACAAGGGGAGAGACTGTCCGAGTTTATCATGACGACGAGGACTATCCATGGAAACTCACAGTTCCAAAAGCCCTCTTCCCTACGCTGGACCTGGGAATCGCCCGATGGAGAGTACCATAACGAGATTGACCACATCATCGTCAACAGAAGGTGCTGCCTGACGGACGTCGCTGTTGTTCCGAAGTTCTACACGGGATCAGACCATCGTCTCCTGCGCGCCAAATTCTATTTTCCGCGGAATGGAGAGAGAGCCGTCAAGTTCAGGAAACATCGTCCCATGAATGCCACCAACTGGGATCTGTTTTCTTCGATATCCGGCTCATGGCGAGATACCGTGATGGACAACATCGACGAAGAATACGAACGGTTCGTACAACATTTCCACGGTTGTGCCAAGGAAGCTCAGAGTCCAAGAAGTACGAGAAGGCGTCTCACCACGGGGACTTTGGAGCTGATACGCCAACGTGGACGCGCACGAGCCACAGGCAACTACCGACTACGTCCGAGCTTGCGAAGCGATGCAGAGAAGCGATAAAAGAAGACCTTAAGGAGAGAAGAGTAGCGGTGATGGTTGACGCCGCGGAGGCTGGAAGAAGTATAGGCAACGCCCGCCGAAGCTTCGTCAACTTCAAGACAAAGATGACCGCACTTCGTCGTCCTGACGGAACCATAACTGCTTCCCGAAGATCAATGGAGAAGGTCATCCACGACTTCTACTCGGATCTTTTTGCGAGCCACGTCCACCTTCCACCATGCCATCTCAAGGAGGACGAGTATGTCGCACCGTCTGTTCTTCCTTCCGAGATTCGTCATGCTATCATGTCGATGAAAAACCGTACAGCACCCGGTCCCGACAGGATTAAGCCAGAATATCTAGAATCTTTCGCCAATTCTCATCAAGATTTTGGCAAGGCTCTTCAGGCGGTACCTGACGGCAGGCAAGGTTCCAAGACAATGGAAGACCAGCAAACTATGTTGCTGTACAAGAAGGGAGATCCCTGCGACATCGGTAATTATCGCCCTATCTGCTTGTTGTCTGTAGTCTACAAACTCTTTACGCGAGTTATTCTCAACAATCGGAAGAGAGTTAGACGAAGGACAACGATGCGAGCAAGCTGGGTTTCGAAGAGGATTCAGCACGATAGACCACATACGCACGGTGTCAAGGCTCATTAAAGTGTCACGAGAGTATAAGATGCCGCTCTGTCTCACCTTCATCGATTTGAAGAAGGCCTGTGACTCGGTTGAGACTGAAGCCGTCATCGATGCCTTGAGCAATCAAGGTATTCCGACTCATTACATCAAGATAATTCGTGAGCTGTACAACTACTTCACAACCACCATAACCCCATTCTACAAGGACATCATCATTGACGTGAAGAGAGGCGTGCGACAAGGCGATACTATATCGCCGAAACTATTCAGTGCCGCTCTGGAGAACGTCATGCGTAAGTTGGAATGGGACAACATGGGAGTGAAAGTTGACGGCCGGCAGCTACACCACCTTCGCTTTGCTGATGACATCGTATTGATAACACCAAGCATCACGCAGGCGGAACAAATGCTGGCCCAGTTTGACGAAGTGTGTGGAAAGATCGGTCTACAGCTGAATCTAACGAAGACGATGTTCATGAGGAACGGAAGAGTGCCTGATGCTCCTTTCATGCTCAACGGGACGAACATCACCGAATGCTCAAGCTACACCTACCTAGGTCGTGAACTCAATATGATGAACGATCTAGCTCCGGAACTGAGCAGGAGGAAACGTGCAGCATGGGGAGCATATATGACAATTGAGGACGTAGTGAAGAAGACCAAGAACATCCGGCTCCGCGCCCACCTTTTCAACTCGACGGTTCTTCCTGCTTTGACGTACGCTTCAGAAACATGGACAATGAGAAAGCAGGATGAACACGCGGTTAGCGTCATCGAACGAGCTGTTGAGAGAGTGATGCTAGGAGTGAATCGACTCACGCAAGTGAGGCAAGGATTACGAAGTTCTACCCTACGTCAACGATCGAAGATCAGGGACGCTGCCGCATACGCCAAGCAGAACAAGATAAGATGGGCCGGGCACGTAATGCGTTTCGACGACAACCGGTGGACGAGAGCTGTAACAGATTGGATACCACTGGACGTCAAACGCGAACGAGGAAGACCGCCGACGCGATGGTTAGATATGTTCACGAAGTCCTTTAATGAAGTCCTTCACAGCGTTCCACGTGTTCCTGGTGCGATACGTAAACATTGGTCAACAGTCGCCCGAGACAGGGACGAATGGAGGCATCACTGGTACCCGCTCGTGCAACACGATGATCAACGGGGATACAGGTGATACAGGTGATTCGGAATCCATTCATTCGAGAATTTTTGAACCTCGAATTTATTCGATATTCGTTTATTCGAGATTTTTTATTTTCGAATATGTTCGATATTCGTCTATTCGAAATTTTTCGTTTTCGATTTTATTCGATACTAGCTGGCAAACCCGGCTCCGCCCGGCCCTGTCATTATTATATTCGTAATCAGCATGCTCGATTACCCCCCTGTGCCAACTCCCAGCCCCGTAGCTCAAATTTTGCAAAAAATCGATAAAATCGATATCGATCGATAACGAAAAGTAGCCTATGACACGCTCCCTGCCCCGAAGTATATGTGTGCTAAGTTTGGTCCAAATCGGTTCAGAAATAAAAATTTCTATTCCGCACATACGTACAGACATACAGACATACAGACAGACATACAGACATACAGACAGACATTCAGCTTTATATATAAGATTCATTCATTCGATGAAAAATTTTTGGATTACCCAAGTATAGTGCACATCTGCTTGCTGAACGTTTGGGCAACTTGGTATTCTTTACTCGTAAGTGGTAAGTAGTAACTCATCATCTACATATATCGCTAAGTTATTCGTTACTTTTAGTAGCAGCTATCGACGCTAGTCGTACTTTTGCGCAGACACGTCAACATCGCGAGGAATGCGCTCGCAAACCTCTTCTAAGAAAATTGTTTTACGGAAGGGGCGCAGCGAGATTAGCACTGCACAAACCCAACAAGTAGTCCCCCCCCCCTCCTCCCCCGAGAATGGTTCGTGAAATTTTTGATTTGCTCACAGGGGTTATAAAAATATGCAAGTGACTTGTTTATTCTTGTAAATAATTACAATAATTTTTAAAAATTTTTTAAAAAATCAAGTTAGCCTTGAAAAATTTTTTTTCCGGGGCGTGGCTGCCGCCGCGCCCTCTTTTTCAAGATTTTAGGGGTTGGACCCGCAAAAACTTTGAGAAGCACTCTAAAAAATTTATGATTGAATGTGAGCAGACCGCCACTGCTCACTAAGTATTTAATCAAGAATAGTTAATAAGTAAAGTTTTTTTTTGCCAACAACCAGGTTCTTATTTTAAAGCAGTTGTCGCCGAAGTTCACCAAGGCTTGATTGCTTCAATTCGACCCGGAAATGACGAACTCATCAGGGATTCTGGAATGGGTGGAACTGCAGGCATTGGTGATTAATTGATATCTGAAACGGCCAGTCGTGCGAAGAGGCCGCGAGTGCTTTGTTTTAAGATGTAGGATCAGTCCATCTATTTTGCAAGAGCTGTCTACGTCTGCTGCATACAGAAGAGAGCAAAAGATGTTTTCGGTTTTTCCTTCGTTGTATACCACTCCATTTAATATTTATCTCTGAACAAAAAAAATTGCTGCCAAAATTACTTGCCATTACCTTGCATAAGTGGCAAGCGCGACATGGATTTCCTGGTTCCAAAGCTACTCGATCTCCAATACTAAAATTTTTTACTTTTGAACCCAACCCAGCCACAATACCACTGGGTTCATGTCCAAGCACCTGAAAAAATGACGATTTCATTCTGGCTGTATGTGATTCTATACAATTACCAAGGGATCCTTTACATGAAAACTTCCTATGGCACCCTTTTTCCAGAAGTGCACGTCAGATCCACATAATCCAACGGTATGAACTCTAAGATACATTCGTGATGGCTAAAAACATAAATGGGCTCTTTGCTCACTTGATTAGAAGCTGATTTTCATTTGGCACTGGTACGTCGCGATTTTTAAGCCTGATATCGTTTATCCCGTAGAGAAAAGCGGACAAGTTCTTCGACATTTTCTCCTGTAAAAATACGTGATACGTGCTTTTCTCTCAATCCTTCCGCAAAAACCAGATATAGCTTCATTCGAAGTTTATGATCTTTATGATTTCAAACATCGAATAGTGAAAGGGAAGACGGATGAGCATATTGGTATGGTCTCGAGTTCACGGTTGATAGCGACAAGACAACTACAACAATATCCTTGCATGCCGATCTTCTTTTGGTTGTGATAATTTCTCAGCACAAATGATCGTGACTAACTATCACAACCGAAGTACAAGATGATCGGCATGCAATGAACTCGTAACACTTGTCTTGCAGCGAAGAATCGCGACGATGAAATCCCATGAACTCTGCCCAAGGTTAGGGGGCGCCGCAATGAGTGAGATGACTAAAATACCAATTTCTGCCTTTGGACCAACCAAGCACTCTACATTCCAGGAACGGTCGATCGGTACCGGAGTGATCTTGAAAGACTAAAGCATTGATTTTCGTGGCGGCAGACTTACTCCACTCTCCTTCCCCAGATCTACATAAAGGTTTGCACACGTAATAGCTACGAGTTCTCCGCGATCGCGAAGGTCGGTGAGTTTGCCTCTCCATTGCTCGCGCATTGAGCTTCCTCAGTTTTTTTCTTCTTTCAAACGCTTTTCTGCTATTGGATCAGCTCTCAAATACTTGAAACGATTTTGAAAAATACAGGGTTGTTCAACTGCTTTGAGGGCCGTGGCATCCTACATGTGCAATGACTGCAAACTCACTGACCTTCGCTCGCGAGAGCCTATGCTTCATGCTTTTGGCGCAAGACTCGCCGTTATTCCAAATGTCTAAGAGATGATAATCAGGGCCCGGCACGAGGTCGGCAAATGACAAGCTGGAAATCGTTTTGGGGCCAAAAAGCAAAGGGGAAATCGTTTTTGCGGGGTCCGGGGCGGAGCCCCTGAAAAAAAATTGGAAGTTCATGCTCGCTACTTATCTTGACATGTTATGTGCCTCAACAGGCGAACACTGGAGTTCGCGCGCGTCAAACCGCACCGTCGCTAATTGCCGCACCCGCGACGTCGCCCAAGATGCTATTTGTAACTGCATACATGACTAGTTCTCAATGTATGTGTAACGATATGGCACCAAATTTTGTATGCGAACGGAGAGAGGCTAGTGGAAACATAGTATGAAAAATTATGAAAAACTTATGTGAACGGAACGAGTAATTGGCATTTTTTCCGAGAATTTCGCAAAACTGGTAAATGAAGATGTGAATTCAAACGGCTCGTTTGGAACGCGCAGACGAACGATATGGTATGAAACTTGGTAAGTACATGCATACGGGCTTGCAGGGCTTAACTGAGGAGTTTCATTGAAAAATTATGTGACTGAAGGTTGTGGCAAACTTTTTTCTGAAAATTTTGCGCTACCAAAGAAGTGGAAAAATGGCTCGTTTGCAACGCAGAGGTAACGAAATCGCGCGGGTTTCGGTGTGCATGTGCGCAATAGGACTAAGTAATAAAGTATGAAATATTATGAAAAACTTATGTGAATGAAGAGCGTGCTTAACTAATTTTCAAATTAGGTCGGCATTTGCCGACCTATTCCCACCTGAGGTCGGCAAAACTCTCAGTTCACATAATTTTGTCAAAATTTTTACATAAATCTGTTGTACACCTAAAGTTTACTACATGGTGAAATTTTGGTTCCGATACTCCTCCTCTTGTCCTTGTTAGAGCCCAAAATCGCATCAGCAGCATAGCTTTCTAAGATAGAAAGCGCACCCCAGTCAATCGATACGCGCGGGAACGGCGTCTCTCATTCCTATGACTGCGTTTCTTTGATATTTTCTCATTCCTTAATCATTTTTCTTGCTTATTTTTCTTCCTGTTTTCTATCTTGATACAGCTGAGGATTAATTCGAGGAATTTGAGCAATTTGGGCGCTTTTGAGCGCTTTTAGGCGAAGTGTGGCCGGTAATCTCGTCGCACAAGCACAAAACGTCAATTTTGGGCTCAAGGGGGTATTCGTAAAAATTATTGGGATCAAAGGGGAATTCGTTTTGGAAAACCCCGTTTGCCCACCTCGTGCCGGGCCCTGATGATAATCGCACGCACATACTTTAAGAAGAGCAACAGCAGTCTGATCTACAATGCATGATAAAAAGCTGCAAAAACAAGACTATCAAGGAAGGCCTACATGGAATTACTAGAAAGTTTGGCTGTTCGCAAAACTCGTTTGAATTACAACGCCATTAATCCAATCTACCTTCCCCACAAAGGACTACTGAATGCTAGAATTGAGGCACAGCTACATAAAAACTTGTTTTATTGCGGCATCAACCAGCTAGTCTACGCTTTTCGCAAGAAATTCTGGGTTTTAGCAGACAAAACTCTCAGAAAAAAATTATCCAATACTGCGTCATCTTTCAACGCTATAACGCGGTCCCTTACAAATAGTCACACATGAGACCAGTACCTTCCAAGATCAGGACAGTCGCGGAAGTTGCCTGCGCTGATCATCATTGCGCGATAGATTGCGGACCGAAAGCAACTAATACGTACTGATCAGCTCCAGTACCGCCAACTATCTGCTCAGTGTGGCACCCAATGCTGATCACAAAAGTATGAATTACATTATCGAATCGCTTCATTACCACTCCATATGGAAAGACGATTTGGAACACGCTAACTTCGAAAAAGCCAGGTATTTAGGGTAGACGGTAAAAAATAGCACACCTAGGGAATAAGTGTAGAGTTAAGAAAGGGAAGTGATTAAACTTTTCAATTTTGGTAGATATCAGAATTGTTCCCTTGACAGTAAGGTCATCAACATATTTAATAGTTTTTTTATACTTGCTGGAATGCAAAGTTAGTTACTTCAACGAATTACTAACTTCGAGCAGTAAAACAGTGAAACATGTGAGACCATTCAAAGTACCACTGCTGCAGTGGGTGAAGATACAGTCACGAAACCCACGATGGCTTGCCGGCCGCAGCGGGTAAAGTTAGGAGATATGACCATTAGCATTTTCTGGAACGAAGATGCGTGTTACTTACTTCTTTGCAAGTGAATGCACGTTATCTGACTAAACTACCATTTGATAAAGCCTTTTACGCTTTATCCATCCATATGCAGTTTACCTCTAATTTTATCTGTAATCGAAAAATATAGGTTCAAACATGATTTTGTGGTTTTTATTGCGCCAAAAAACTGCGAGTTTTTAAATATTTTGCTTTTTTATCCACAAACAAAAAGGAATCCTATATGTGCATATTTTTGAAAGAGCATGAAGAGCTCTTTGAATGATATGTCAGCTGCATCATGGCTTTACGGAGCGGCGCAAGAATGAGAGGTGTTCAAAAAACCCTGTTAAAGTTCCCGCCGCCACGCGCAGGGTTGTGGGAAAGGAGCGTTAACGCGTTACCAGAATAATAGGCGAAGGTCGCTGATGTAAACAACGTTTAAACTATAGCCTGCTTGTTGTTGATCAAACAAACTGTCCCATTTTTTGCCGTTCACCCTAATACGTAGACTTAAGCAACATTCTTGACCTTGACAACAGCACAGTTTATGTGTCACTGGGGCCGCTTCGTTTACAGCAGCTGTAGTAGCATTTCCATAGCTACTCAGATAACCGCCGGGGGCAGGCGGCCATGCGAATTTTGAGCAAGCGCGCACCGGAAAAATAGTTCGTTGATTTTTTGCGGCCCGCTTGCAGAAATTTGGAAGAAAGTTGGCGAAATCAAAGACGAATGCTTGAAGAACAATCGCGGTTTCTTTATGGATTAGCTGCGGCGCAGTGGCCGCATTCTCGCGGACTTTCCGCGAAAATATGCAAAAATTTCGAAGGCCGCACGGTCCTTTGTGGAGGACCGCGCAACCCCCAGGTACTTTTCGCTGAGAGAAAGTGCCTCAAATTTGAGTAATTAAACCAACGGTGACACCTCTGCCACACAGAGTCTTACCTGCGCTCGACGTACGCCCGAAAATGCCTTAAAAGAGTCCGAGCGCTTGCTGAAAGTTTGGCCAGCGCTCGCTGAAAGAAATTATTTGCCGAGCGCTTGCAAAAAATGCTGTATTGCTGCCCTCTGGTAGAATATGCGACCGTAAAGGAAGTGCCGCCCGCTGAAGGTTTGGCCACGCCCCAAAATTCTGCTGACCGCCTGCAGAAAAGCGCGAGTTTGCGGACCGCCTGCCCCCGGCGATTATCTGAGTACCACACCGATCTGCGGACCTGCTCTGTTACGCAAATGTATGCCCTTCTTCTGTATGCCCTTTTGTATGCCCTTTTATACAGCACCCTTATATGTACCCTAAAATCCCATAGATAAGAGCATTTAATTTGCCGGAAAAATGAATTGAATTAAATTGAAATTGAATGCAGTCACCCCTCTAACTTGATGGATGGATAAATAAAAATTGGAGAAGGAGTTTAGAAGAAGCTCTGCCCCTCAACTCTAAACTCCGCCCACTTAATAAACAATTCTTATAGAAATTCCGAAATTCCGTTAAAATCGCTATTTTTCTATATGAAATGTTTATTAAGTGGGCGGGGTTTAGAGTTAAGGGGCGGAGCTTCTTCTAAACTTCTTCTCCGACTTTTATTTATCCATCCATCAAGTTAGAGGGGTGACTGCATTCAATTTCAATTTCATTCAATTCATTTTTCATCGGTAAATTAAACCGCTCTTATCTATGGGATTTTAGGGTACATTATATGTGCTGTTTAGCTAGTCCCCTCAGGTATCATTGCTTGGCAGTACGCTTAAATGCAGGCGGATGTACAAAGCAATAATGCTGTTCTGCGAAATTTTGTCAGAAAGAATGTCGAACCACCCCAGAGACCTAGCCGGCAAATTTACGATGCCTACTCAGACAATCGCCGGGGGCAGGCGGGCACCGGAAAAATAGATTGCTGATCTCTCGCACCCCGCTCGCGGATTTTTTGGAAAGCAATCAGGACTTTTCGGAAGACCGCTTGCTGAGTTAGCGGATTTTTGAGAGACCGCCTGTTGAATTTTTCGCTCTTATCTTT